TACGGGAACTTGAATAATCTCATGTTCCCGTGTTCTACAGAACGGAGAACTCAAAAAACATGAGGTTCCCGTTCTGCAGAACACGGGAACTTGAAGATTATTCAAGTTCCCGTGTTCTACAACACGGGAGATTCAAGTTTTTTTAATATTTTTTTATTTTTTTTTTTATATTTTTTTTCTAAATATCGAATTTTCTAATTATTTGAGGAACATGATAACACATATTCGGATTATTGTACCCATTTGTACATTCATCATCAAATATTTCGTCAAAATCACCATCATCACCCTACCAAATTATAAAAATTAATAATACAAAGGAATAAAAAAATTAATAATAAAAAAAAAAAAAAATGAAAATTGATATGCAAGTTCCCGTGCTGTACAGCACGGGTAACTCCAATATTTTCCACATTTTTGATACTATTCGTGCTGTATAGCACGATTGTATCAACTTTTTATTTTATTTTTTATTTTTTTTTCTTTCTTTTTACCATATAAAAGTTATTCGAGTCAGCCATTGAAGAAGTCGTTGTTCGTTTTTAAATTTGTCGAACGAGCTTCAAATTCTAAGTTTTCGATTTTTTTTTAGTTGAGAGCGTTTCGGGTTTTTTAAAAAGTTAGAAAATTGACAAATGAGGCTACCGCTGCAAATAAGCCAATTTCAGTAAAAGTCCCGCTACAATTAGCATTTCAGTTTTTTTTTTACTTTGAAAGGGGAAGGGTGGAGAGTGTGGACAAAAGTAAAAAAGGTTCTGGAAATAGTGTTTCTTTAGACATTTCTTCTTCATATTTAAGGGAAAACTACAGTTTTAACCTCTTAAGTTTGCATCAATTTCAAATTTGACCCCTAATGTTCTCAAAAAACATATTGGTTTCCTTATGTTTCAATAATTTAACATTTTTGTCCTTTCCTTCAATTTACGGGTTAGTCGGATAGTTAATTAGTGATGGGTACATATTTGATTCCGTTAGTACTAAAGCGAAATTAACAAAAAGGACTAAAAGTGTTTAATATTTGAAACATGAGGAACCAAATATATTTTTTGTGAACATTAGAGACCAAATGTGAAATCAATGAAAATTTGAGGAATGAAAATAGTATTTTTTTTCCCTCATATTTATTATTAAGGTTACAATTGGAATGAATTTCCGAATTCCATCGATTTAGATCAGAAAATCTTCGATTCATTTCGAATCCCAATTTTGAGATTTCGGAATTATTTGTATTGAAATTGGATTATATATGAAATTCTTATTTTGAATTTGATTTTAATTTTTGGAAAATAATTCCAAAATTCCATCTTTTGTCATAAATTAGCTTATAATATAAATATTTAATATTATAGATAAATAAAAATAGGATTTCCAATTTTCACTGAATCCCACTGAATTTTTTTTTAGGGTTTATTAGGGAAAACCCCCTTGTTCATATTTTCTAATGAGGTAGATCCAATTTGTTTTCCCTTTTTTGAGATACACCCAATTTTGCCAACTTGGCAAAATATATTATATAATTTCCCTTTAATACCCCTGTTTTATTATTAAACGGCATTTATTTCCTTTAATACGTGATTTGAGATTTGCTGATACGTTGCCTAAAATCACGGAATAAATTTACGTGAGATCATTGGTCGTTATATCAAATCGTGTACAATATTTTTTGAAGATTCTCTTCATCGTTCCAGCGGGTTTTATCGTCTTTGAAGATTTCTGCACCGTCGTGGAAATAGGATCGATTTTTGAGCGTTTGTTGTTGGACGTTGTTAAGCGGGTATGAATGCGTTATTCGTTTTTATTTTTTGCTCAATGTCCATGATTGTCGTGTACGGTGGTTAGAAATTTTTAAGAGTTGTGTTGATATTTGATTCTATTAAGTAGAACGTTTTTTAACAAAATTATTCCGTCATATATATATCGTTTTTTTTTTTGCCGATGATGTTTGTTTGGAAGAGGATTGACAGAGTTAGAAGAGGATGGTTCACGCAGATCGGACCAGAGTTGTTTTATATGAGCTTCGTAGTTGGTTTAGGCAATAATCGGAATAATTGTCCGCTGTGGTCGAGTTCATGTTTTTATCCCGATCGATAGTTGGTTTATTTGTTTATAACAGCCGATTTAAGTGTGCTGGGTAGTACATTAAAATATAGTTCGTAGTCTTTTTTAATTTAGCGTATGGATTTTGCATTTTAAGTTTATTTTTGATGATATTAATGTATTATCATTCAAATGTATTTGCAGTCTATTTAATCATTTTTTAGTATTCTGCATTTTTAATTTTGTTTCATGATTTTAGGTTTTTTCGATGGCGAATTTCGTACGGATTTTGTTGAGGTTTGGTGGGTTGGTTGCTATAAAGAGGTGTTTACGATGTAATGGCTCGGTAACTTCGGTTAAGTGTTAAACCGTTGTAATACAGTAGTATACTATTATGAATACCGTATGATACTACCATTATCATTTTATTATACTATTATGAGATTATTAATGTACTAGAGTTTTTTAACTCGACATATTGGTTTGATTGTGTTATGATATGTTTTATGTATTTTATCAAAACCCTAGATTGAAATTATGAGATTATTAATGTACTATTTTATTGGTTATGTGGAATACTTTACGTTGGTGTTGTTCTCAATGTTCTTGTCATTTCAGTGGTATATTGTTTGTAACACAATTTCATATCACTACTATAACTGTAATATACTATCATAGCAGATTAATGTACTATATTGAAATTATTAATATACTATGTGGTTGAATAATACGGGATCCATAGTCGATTAACGAGATCCATAGTCGAATTAGATCAATAAGATAGTCTATTACATGATATAAGGAAAATTACCATAATTGATTAGTATTTCAAACAAACATATTATTCAGTTTTCATATATATTATTATTTTTTCATATATATTATTATTTACCCTAATCGTTTTCATATAATAAGGAAAATTACCCTAATTGATTAGTATTTCAAACAAACATATTATTCAGTTTCCATATATATTATTATTTTTCCAATAGTCAATTAACTAAACCCATAGTCGAATTAGATACATGGGATAGTCTATTAAAAGATATGAGATAGTCTATTTATTTTAAAACACAAATCCGCCGCCGTCACTTCTCAAATCTAGGGTTTTGATGATTCTTCGGCCCATAGTCGATTAACGAGATCCATAGTAAAATTATACCAGTGGGATAGTCTATTAAATGATATGGGATAGTATATTAATACAGATGTAATTCGACTATGCATCTCGTTAATCAACTATGGGTCGAAGAATTATCAAAACCCTAGATTTGAGTAATCCTAGATTTGAGTAACCCTAGATTGGAGCAGTGACGGCGACGGCGACGGCGGCCAACGACGATATCACTTCTGGTGGATGTCCTGCCCATCAATTGTTGCAATATCAATGATTTAGTGCTAGAATTCGGTATGCGATTATAACAGATCTGCAATTATACAAACGTGATAGTCGATTTAGCCAAAACATATGAACAAATCGATGGACGATAGCGATGCAGCGACCGGCGAAGACGTACCTAAGGCGGCTTGCTCGGAGTCCACGAAAATCGTCGTTTCACGGCAGTGCAGATTTCTTCCCCTTTCGATCGGCCGTACCGGGAAGTGGTTCTGGGAGGTTTTTGCAGTTTATTTGATAGTGGGTTTTGGGGTGATAGTGTGTTAACGGGAAAATATGAAGGGATTTGATATTATTTCAAAATGTAAAGTAACGGGATTTGTGGGATTTGATTGAGGGTAATTATGTAATTACGAAAAGCTTGGGCTTTTATCAAAATGGCAAATTTAAATTTGGGTCTACTCCTATTATTTGAATGTTTAAGGGGGTTATATCTAATAGACCCTTTTTTTTATTCTTTTAAACACGTGTAGTTATGCACTCGTGTTCACCTCGTATATATTATTTGGTTCGTCTGAAGATCAGAAACCTCCAGCCTCTCACAAATTAATCTTTTATACACATTAATGAGTCATCTGTAAACATTTACAGTTTAATATATCAATTTTGTTGTCTGTCAAGACTCAAGATTCCTCACTCATGCTGTAGACATTATCAGCAATTATAATGCAGCTGAAATATGCATGATTTTATTTATTTAAATACAATTATTCAAGATCATGGGAGACAAGCAATTCGTGCTTATTCATATTTATTTCAATCATTTCACAAGTTGATGAAACATTGTAGCTGGAACATATTCGTTTTGTATTATTCGTATTAATTCATCTCCCTTCATATATATATATATATATATATATATATATATATATATATATATAGCCCATACCATAACTATTACTTCAACCATCTAACATCTTCTTCCAAAGTCACATATTCTACATTCAACCTCTCAAAAACTTCATTTTTATATTTAAAAAAAGAAGATGGCTACTACTACTTACCACTCTCGATCAAACAGTTTCCCATCTCAATCTCATCCAGCAATCGAAAACGTTGAAGATCATTTGTGCAGATTTAGGGCCCACTCAGAATCCACTTCTGTGTGTGCTAACTTGGCTAGCCTCAGAAATCTACACGAAGGCATCGATGATTTGATTCAAATGCCTTCAGTCCAGCAAACACTTTCTCAAGGAAATTGGATAAACGAGTTGCTTGAGGGATCTCTCAAGCTCGTTGATCTATGTGCTCTTTCTAGAGAGATTGTTTCGTTGACAAAGGAATCTGTTCAAGATCTAGAATCGTCAATCAGGAGAAATAAAGCCGAAACAGCCACATCATCCGATGTCAGTGCTTATGTGGCATCGAGAAAGAAGATCACTAAAATGGTCAGCAAGAGCATCAAGAATTTGAAGAGCTTCGACCATAAGTCGACAACAGATAACAATTTATGGACAATGATGAAAGAAGTAGAATCCCATGATTTATCAGTCCTAAAGTCGGTTTTAATCCTATTGTCTGGCGAAAACGAAAAATCAAGCAAGACAAGTTGGTCGTTGCTTTCAAAGTTCTCCACCCAAAACAGCCGTGTTTATTCAGAAAATGGTGCTGAGGATTTGAGTTCGTTAAACATCCAAAAGTCAACAAAAAACATGGATAGCAAAAGCATGTTGAAGCAGTTGAAGTCATCGGAAATGACAATCCAAGAAATCGAAGAGGGATTAGAAGCCTTATTTAGAAGTTTAATCAAAACTCGAGTTTCACTTCTTAATGTTCTTAGCCATTAGTCGTCTAATTGGCTCGGGATAATTTTCACATTTTTGACCATACCATACAAACAAGTGTATATATACATCTGTAAATGAGATAAAATATCAATACCAATACTTCATCATCTATATAATTCAGTGCACAAAACCTCAACTCAACATCTTTTTTTTTTTTTGTATTATCTGTCTAGAATTATTGATCTGCTATAATTGCCGAGAGTATTATTTGCACGTTTAGATGTTTATTATCGATAATTGATTAAGTAATAACATAGTACGATATGAATATTACGTACATGCAATAACTAATTGATCATTTCTTGAGACTAGACTGTCAAGATTCCTCTTGTTCTAAATCATTGATCAATTATGTTAATTAATCTTACTCGTCGAGCCTGTAATATATTTTTCCATGTCTGAAGATCAGTAACACCAGCTTAATAAAATAATTTCAATCAAATAACAGATCATAAACACCATACTATTAAATACACTTAATCACTGTCAAGATTCCTAATGCTTCAAGATCAATGTATATTTAATGTGTTAAATTAATTTTTATTTATTTTTATTTTTATCTATAGTTTTTATAATTTAAGAAACGTACAAAGCCGCAATACATGTAACATCTATTAATACTAGTAAGAACTAATTAGAAAACAAGTACAATTTTTTATTTTTTTATTCGGTTTTAAAATAAAAAGCCGCAATAGATTTTGGGATGAAGATTTTGTTCTCAGAATTGTAGCCCCCCATTGTTTATATGTATTATCTATTAAAACTAGTAAGAAACTAATTGGATAAAAATAACAATTTATTTCTACAAATGATTATATATTGATGTTGTTGTGAAATTTATAGAACTTCAATCCCACCCTTTGCATACTGATCTGCTTCACTTGAGTCAACTTTCACATCTGAAGCCTAAATATGTCAATATTTATTTATTTTTCGGTAAAACAAGAAGATTCCGTTTAATGGACGTCCTGTTCTATTTTTTTATTATTCAGCTATGAGAACTATAGCACACAATATAAATAACCCGGTAGTGCAGCAGCGTGGTAAGTAATTTAGAACTATACGGTGTCAAAAAAATTCACACGTTTTTTAGGTGTTTCTAAGACGATAATCATTTTATAATTCAACCGCATACTGCACGAAAACACGTGTAGTTTATAAGTTATATATTAGTTTGCATATTTTTTATTTTGTTGGTTGTCTGAAGATCAGAAACCTTCCAGCCTAGCACAAAATAATCTTTTATACACAGTTATGGAGACATCTGACATACCTCATCAATGACTCAGCTTTTTATTACAATTTATGAAATTGTTTTCATGGCTGTCAAGATTCCTCCTGCTCCAATATCGTGCAGCTGAGATCTGCATGATTTGAGATTTCGTATATTTCTCGATTATTCAATATCATGGGGGACATGCAATTCGTGCACATTCATATTTATTTTTAATTATTCACAAGTTGATGAGACATTGTAGGTGGAACATATTCGTTTCGACTTATTCATATTCGTCTCCCTTCATATATATATATAGCCCATACCATAACTATTACTTCAACCATCTAACTATCTTCTTCCAAAGTCATATATTCTACATTCAACCTCTTAAACACTTCATTTTTATATTTAAAAAAAAAAAGATGGCTACTACTACTTACCATTCTCGATCGAACAGTTTCCCATCTCAATCTCATCCAGCGATCGAAAGCGTTGAAGACCATTTATGCAGATTGAGGGCCGACTCAGAATCCACTTCTGTGTGTTCTAACTTGGCTAGCCTCAGAAATCTACACGAAGGCATCAATGATTTGATTCAACTGCCTTCAATTCAGCAAACACTTTCTCAAGGAAATTGGATAAACGGGTTGCTCGAGGGATCTCTCAAGCTCGTTGATCTATGTGCTATTTCTAGAGAGATTGTTTCTTTGACCAAGGAGTCTGTTCAAGATCTTGAATCCTCCATCAGGAGAAATAAAGCCGAAGCAGCCTCATCAGCCGATGTTAGTGCTTATGTGGCCTCAAGAAAGAAGATCACTAAGATGGTCAACAAAAGCATCAAGAATTTGAAGAGCTTCAACAACAAGTCTACAACAGATAACGAATTATGGACAATGATGAAAGAAACAGAGTCCCATGATTTATCAATTCTAAAGTCTGTCTTAATCCTCTTGTCTGGGGAAAACGAAAAGTCAAACAAAAGAAGTTGGTCGTTGCTTTCAAAGTTCACAACCCAAAATAGCCGTGTTTGTTCTGAAGTCGAGCAAGAAAGTGGTGCTGAGGATTTGAGTTCGTTGATCATCGAAAAGTCAACAAAAAACATGGACAGCAAAAACATGTTGAAACAGTTGAAATCATCGAAAATGATCATTCAAGAACTCGAAGAGGGATTAGAAGCCTTATTTAGAAGTTTAGTGAAAAACAGAGTTTCACTTCTTAATGTTCTTAGCCATTAGCCACATTTTTTATCTTACCATAGAAATGTATACTATACTGTAAATCACATACAAAATCAATACTTCGTTACCTATATAATTCAGTGCACAACACCTTAACTCAACATCTATTTTGCTCTATTAACTATCTAAAATTACCGATCTGTTATATAACTTATAATTACCGACGATACTATTATTTGTATGGTTTATATATTTACTATCAAAATTTTACTTAAGTAATAACATAATTCAGCAAATAAAAATGTGAATATAATTCAAAGCTTGATAATGCAACACTGCAATCATGTCCAAAGCTAGGTTGTCAAGATTCCTCCTGTTCTTAATCATTAATCAATTAATGGATGAAATGGCCATTACTAATGACTCACAACTATGAATATTCAATTATTTAAAGAAAACATAAACTACAATTAACATCTTTCTTAATCTTACTCATCAAGCCCACGTTATGTTTTTCCGTGTCTGAAGATCATAAATAATTAACATATATTATAAGCTGATCAGTAGGCCTCAGGACTTGATTACTGTCAAGATTCCTAATGCTTCAAAATTAGTGAATATAATATATATTAATGAAACACATGCAATGTCATTTCCCAAAAATAGGACCCTAAAACATAGAAAAATGAGTAAATATTAAAAAATGGGATATAAACATAAATTGCAGACAACACTTCACTTTTTCTGCCTTTATGGGATAATAAATAATCACAAATTTCCCATGATTTTAATGGATTAACAATAATTTACTAGCCAGCACGAACGAATTAATACTTTCTTCCTTGTCTGAAGATCAGAACAAACTCCAGCCTAGCACTGTGACTACGTACTAGTATTTTATTCACACCGGAGCTTACGGTTGGGAGACATTTCATTAATGAGTAAGCTATATATGAATTAATTCAATTTCATGTCTGTCAAGATTCCTCACTCTTCAATTATAATAATGCAGCTAGCTGAGATCTGCATGATCTGAGTTTTTTTTATTATCAATAATTCAAGATCACTGTGAATTCGTGCATATTCATATTTAATTTCCAATTTTTCACAAGTTGACGCGACATTGTAGGTGGAACATAATCCTTCTGTTTTTCTTTTGTCCCATCTCCCTCTCTACATATATACCTCACAACATCTAATTCAAACATATCTTCAAACAAATCACATCTTCTCTCAAACTCACATACCAACACTTTCATCTTTCAAAGATCATTTCGTTAAAAAAAAAATAGGATGGCTAATTTCCATTCTCGATCTAACAGTTTCCCTTCTCAATCTCACCCAATAATCGAAAGCGTTGAAGACCAATTGTGCAGATTGAGGGCCGTCTCAGAATCCACTTCTGTGTGTTCTAACTTGGCCAGCCTCAGAAACCTACATGAAGGCATAAATGATTTAATTCAAATGCCTTCAATCCAACAAACACTTTCTCACGAAAATTGGATAAACGAGTTGCTCGAGGGATCTCTTAAGCTCGTTGATCTATGTGCTCTTTCTAGAGAAATCGTGTGTTTGACCAAGGAGTCTGTTCAAGATCTAGAATCCTCAATCAGGAGAAATAAAGCCGAAACAGCCACATCAGCCGATGTTAGTGCTTATGTGGCATCGAGAAAGAAGATCACTAAGATGGTCAACAAAAGCATCAAGAATTTGAAGAGCTTCAACCACAAGTCAACAACAGATAACGATTTATTGACAATGCTGAAAGAAGCGGAGTCCCATGATTTATCAGTCCTAAAGTCCGTCTTAATCCTATTGTCTGGCGAAAACGAAAAATCAAGCAAGACAAGTTGGTCGTTGCTTTCAAAGTTCTCCACCCAAAACAGCCGTGTTTATTCAGAAAATGGTGCTGAGGATTTGAGTTCGTTAAACATCCAAAAGTCAACAAAAAACATGGATAGCAAAAGCATGTTGAAGCAGTTGAAATCATCGGAAATGACCATTCAAGAACTAGAAGAGGGATTAGAAGCCTTATTTAGAAGTTTAGTCAAAACTAGAGTTTCACTTCTTAATGTTCTTAGCCATTAGTCGTCTAATTGGCTTGGGATATTTTTCACAATTTTGACCATACCATACAAGTGTTATATACATCTGTAAATGAGATAAAATATCAATACCGATACTTCGTTATCTATAATTCAGTGCACAAAACCTCAACTCAACATCTTTTTTTATTTTATTTTATTTTTTATTTTTTTATTTTTTTTATCATCTGTGTAAAATTATTGATCTGCTATAATTGCTGAGAATATTATTTGCACGTTTAGATGTTTATTATCAATAATTTACTAAGTGATAACATAAATTCAGCATTAACATATGCAACCACTAATTGATCACTTCTATAGGCTAGGTTGTCAAGATTCCTCTTGTTCTTAATCATCGATCAATTTATGGATGCTAATGACCATCTTTTTCTGATTTCTATGAATAATGACTTAATATCATGTTGTAACTAAAGCACAAGGCCGGCAAAAAATAAAGAAAAATAATATTGAAGTATAGGTTGGTGTCTGAATTATTACAGATCTAAAAATTGTGTTTCTTTGTAATGCTTGATAATTAAAATAATGACTATTTAAATTTCCGTCGAATTAATTTAATCTCCATTAGGACAATGACGTTCCAATTATAATAATAATAATAATAATAAAAAAAAAAAAAAAAAAAAAACAAGAAAAACGAAAATCAATCATGTTAATTTATCTTACTCGCCGAGCCTGTTATATGTTTTTCCATGTCCGAACATCAGAAACACCAACATAATCAAATTATTCCTAATGCTTAGTGGCAGTCAAGATTCCTAATCTTACTCGTCGAGCCTCTTTCTGTCAAATAACAGATCATTATAAGCTAAGAATGAGTTTATGGATGGCCATATTATTAAACTTAGTATCTGTCAAGATTCCTATTGCTTCAAGATGAACGTATATAATGCATCAATAATCTGTTGGTTGAATTGTTTTATGTATAGCTGTTTCAAACATAGGGAGCATTAGATTTGCACACGATCACATTTAGTTGAAATTTCCAGCAAAAACGAGACATCTTATAGGGGGAATTGATTCCTTTTGTTTCCTTTCTCAATCTTCTTATATAGAGCTGGTGAACAAGTGACTACATAACATATTTTCTCAATGCCAAACTGTAAATCCAACCTTAAACAATTTACCATTTTCTTACCAAAAAATAAAATAAAATTAAGATGGCCAACTTCCATTCTCGATCAAACAGTTTGCCATGCAAATCTCATCCACTAATGAATGATGTCGAACACCATTTGTGCAGATTAAAATCGTCGACAGAAACATCAACATCAGCCAATTCAATATGTGAAAACTTAGCTACCCTCACAAGTTTATACGAAGGCATAAAAATCTGATTCAGATGCCTTCAACCAAAGAAGCCCTTTCAAATGAAGAAGGCGGAAATTGGAGAAACGAGTTGCTTGAAGGATCTCTAAGGCTTGTGGATCTATGTGGAATTTCTAGAGAGATCGTCTGTTTGACCAAGGAATCTATTCAAGAGCTCGAATCTTCTATTAGGAGAAAATCAGATGACATCATCGCTTACGCGGCGTCGAGAAAGAAGATCAATAAAATGGTCATCAATAATTTGAAGAGCTTCAATCACAAGTCAACAACAGCAATCCCATGCGATCAAACGGTCATTGGGAAAATGCTAACAGAAACAGAAGCCCTTGTTTTATCTGTCCTAAAATCCGTATTGATGCTCGTTTCTGGTGCAAAAGGGAGATCGAAGCCAAAGAGTTGGTCATTGTTTTCCAAGTTTTCTCAAACGAGCTGCATGCATAGTGAATTAGAGCAAGAAAGTGGTTCCGATGAGTTGTGTTTTTCGAGAAAAGGAATTGATAATCTCAGTTTGAAGCAGCTGAAAGCATCGGAAATGAAAATCGAGGAAATTGAAGAGGGATTGGAAGACTTGTTTAGAAGTTTAGTGAAAACTAGAGTTTCTCTACTTAATGTTCTCTGCTAATTAGCCTCTTTTGCTTGAGCTGATATTCGACACTTGTAATTATCTAACTAACTACAGAGTTCTATATATAAATCTTCAAACCAAATTCCATTAATTTGTCTGTGTTTTCTCGATTCCATTAATCTTCAAATCAAGTTTTATAATAATTTACCAAATTGCGACGAAGGAATGGTTAGAAAATATTCATAATAACTTACTGAACAGATTTTTTTTTTAGAATAAGAAATCATAAGCCCTAAAAAATCAGGCATAATCAGCATATAGTCGAGGAGGAGGAGAAAACACTTTGGTACCTGTGATTCGAAGTTTCGACCGCCGTCTGGGAGGAGGAGGTGGAAAGCGGACGCCGTGATTGGAGAAAAAAGGATTTTGTCGGCTGTCGTGCGCAAAAGGAAGCGACGAAGTTGTAGTTTTCAGCGATAGTGACGGCAAACGGGAACGGCGATTTGCAGGTAAGAATTTTGTGTAATTACTGAAATGGGCACGAAACGTTTCCGGCCGGTGTCTTCGCGTTCCCGGTTTCCGGAAAAACTCCCTTTTTTGTCCGTTTGTGTGTTCCCGTTTCCACTGCCGTCTCCGTTACTAACACCACAATATTGTTGTTGTCATCAGGGGCGGACCCAGGGGGGTTTTCTTGGGGGGCGGAAATATAGGGGTAATTTAAGAGAGAATTTTTTTTTTGTTTTTAGGGACTAAAGTGTACAAAATTAAAAGTTTGGGGGGGCGAAAGTGTATAAACTAATACATAAATACCCAAAAAAAAAAAAAAAAAAAAAAAAAACAGCTTAAAAAAAATCTTGGGTGGGCGGGGGCCACCCCAGCCTTAGGCGTAGGTACGCCCCTTGTCATACTGTGTAATTTTCGGAAATAAATCAAAAATTTCGGAATTATTTTTGGAAATTGGAGTGGAACCAAAAATAGGAATATCATATGCATTTCATCTCTGATTCAAAAACATTTCGAAAAAATTGTGTAGATATATCTAAGTATGAGTATACATTTTCTGATGTCATTTACAAATGTGTACAATTTCTACGTATAATAGCCCAAGCCAATTAGGCTAATGGCTAAGAACATTGAGAAGAGAAACTCTAGTTTTGACCAAACTTCTAAATAAGGCTTCTAATCCCTCTTCGAGTTCTTGGATTGCCATTTCCGATGATTTCAACTTCTTCAACATGTTTTTGCTGTCCATGTTTCTTGTTGACTTTTGGATGTTCAACGAACTCAAATCCTCAGCGCCACTTTCTGAACAAACACGGCTGTTTTGGGTGGTGAATTTTGAAAGCAGCGACCAACTTGTCTTGCTCGATTTTTCGTTTTTGCCAGACAATAGGATTAAGACAGACTTTAGAACTGATAAATCATGGGACTCTGCTTCTTTCATCATTGTCCATAATTCATTATCTGTTGCGGATTTGTTGTTGAAGCTCTTCAAACTCTTGATGCTTTTGTTGACCATTTTAGCGATCTTCTTTCTCGATGCCACATAAGCACTAACGTCGGATGATGTGGCTGTTTCAGATTTATTTCTTCTGATTGAAGATTCAAGATCTTGAACAGACTCCTTGGTCAAAGAAACAATCTCTCTAGAAATAGCACATAGATCAACGAGCTTGAGAGATCCGTCAAGCAACTCGTTTATCCAATTTCCTTGAGAAAGTGTTTGTTGAACTGAAGGCATTTGAATTAAATCATTGATGCCTTCATGTAGATTTCTGAGGCTAACCAAGTTAGCGCACACAGAATTGGTTTCTGAGTCGGCCCTCAAACTGCACAATTGGTCTTCAACGCTTTCGATTGTTGGATGAGACTGAGATGGGAAACTGTTTGATCGAGAATGGAAATTAGCCATCTTTTTTTTTTTTTTTTTTTTAACAAAATGAACTTTGAAAGATGAAAAGCGAATTCGAGAGAGAAGATGTGATTTGTTTAAAGTTATGTTTGAATTAGGTGTTGTGACTTGTGAGGTATATATGTAGAGAGGGAGATGGACAAAAGAAAAACAAAAGGAATATATTCCACCTACATTGTCGCGTCAACTTGTGAAATAAATTAAAATAAATATCAAATATGCACGAATTGCATGTCACCGTGTTCTTGAATAATTGATTTTTTTTAAAAAAAAACTCATATCATGCAGATCTCAGCTAGCTGCAGTATTATAATTGAAGAGCGAGGAATCTTGACAGCCATGATAATTGAATTAATTCGTATATAGCTTACTCGTTAATGTCTCCCAACCGTAAGCTCCGGTGTGAATAAAATACTCAGTTTTAGGCTGGAGAGTGTCCTGATCTTCAGACAAGGAAGAAAATGTTAATATTCATTCGTGTTGTCTATTATATATACTATTGTTAATCCATTAAAATCATGTCAAATTTGAATTAAATGTGATTGTGTGCAATTCCTGTACTACTTCCCTGTATTTGAGACAACTACAGATAAAACAATTCAACCAACATATATTGATGTATATTATATTCACTAATCTTGAAGCATTAGGAATCTTGACAGCAATCAAGTCCTGAGGCATTCTGATCAGCTTATATTAATATATGTTAATTATTTCTGATCTTCAGACACGGAAAAACATAACGTGGGCTCGATGAGTAAGATTAAGAAAGATGTTAGATGTAGCTTATGTTTTCTTTAATTAATTGATTAATGATTAAGATCAAGAGGAATCTTGACAACCTTCATGATTAGTTAGTAATTGCAGTGTTGCATTATCAAGCGGCTTTGAATTATATTCACATTTTTATTTACTGAATTATGTTATTACTTGGTAAAATTTTGATAGTAAATATATAAACCATGCAAATAATAGTATCGTCGGTAATTGTAAGTTATATAACAGATCGGTAATTTTAGATTGTTAATAGAGAAAAATAGATGTTGAGTTAAGGTGTTGTGCACTAAATCATATAGGTAACGAAGTATCAGTATTGATTTTGTACGTGATTTACAGTATAGTATACATTTCTATGGTAAGATAAAAAATGTGGCTAATGACTAAGAACATTAAGAAGTGAAACTCTGTTTTCCACTAAACTTCTAAATAAGGCTTCTAATCCCTCTTCGATTTCTTGAATGATCATTTCCGATGATTTCAATTGCTTCAACATGTTTTTGCTGTCCATGTTCTTCGTTGACTTTTGGATGTTCAACAAACTCAAATCCTCAGCACCACTTTCTGAATAAACACGGCTGTTTTGGGTGGTGAACTTTGAAAGCAACGACCAACTTGTCTTGCTCGACTTTTCGTTTTCCCCAGATAAGAGGATTAAGACAGATTTTAGAACTGATAAATCATGGGACTCTGCTTCTTTCAGCATTGTCCATAAATCGTTATCAGTTGTAGATTTGTGGTTGAAGCTCTTCAAATTCTTGATGCTTCTGTTGACCATCTTAGCGATCTTCTTTCTCGAGGCCACATAAGCACTAATGTCGGATGATGTGGCTGTTTCGGCTTTATTTCTCCTGATTGAAGATTCTAGATCTTGAACAGATTCCTTGATCAAACACACGATTTCTCTAGAAAGCGCACATAGATCAACGAGCTTCAGAGATCCTTCAAGCAACTCGTTTATCCAATTTCCTTGAGAAAGTGTTTGTTGAACTGAAGGCATTTGAATCAGATCATTGATGCCTTCGTGTAGATTTTTTAGGCTAGCCAAGTTAGAACACACAGAAGTGGATTCTGAGTCGGCCCTCAATCTGCACAAATGATCTTCAACGCTTTCGATTGCCGGATGAGATTGAGATGGGAAACTTTTCGATCGAGAATGGTTAGCAGTAGCCATCTTTCTTCTCTTTTTATTTAATATAAAAAATGAAGTGTTTGAGAGGCTGAATGTAGAAAATGTGACTTTGAGAGAAGATGTTAGATGGTTGAATTCATCTTTATGATCATCTCTATATATATAAAGGGAGATGATAGATATGAATAATAATAATAATAATAATAATAAATAAGAATATGCACGAATTGCATGTCCCCAGATGTTGAACAATTGAAAATTAAAAAACTGATCACTTGCCGATAATGAAGCATGTGGAATCCTGACAGCCACGAAAATCGATTTAGTCAGCGATGAGGTTAAGTTGTAATAAGAGTAGGCATTGTCTCGAAACAACCAGACAACTAGCTATATCATATATGCAGTATATAAGCTGTCAATATTCTCCGTGTTCTTCATCATACAGAGTTTCAAAAAGTTAGATAAATGAATAACCATTTTCGATTTTTTTAAATGAAGGAATATGCCAAACAGGCTTAACTACTGCACTCGTGTGCGTGTGTGCGCCAAGACAATTTCCCAGTTGTCTGAAGAAAGGCAAGCCAACAGCTAGTTAATATGATATTACACTAAAGCTTGTGATTATATATGCTGTTCCAGATCATTAGTGCACATTACTCGTGTGCATATTATTTTTCATTTTATTTTTATTTCCAGCTCCGAAGAAACATGGAAGCCAATATTTGTAATCGATTTATTAAAGAGTAAATAAAAAATATGAATACCGATGTTTTGCTCTCTCTCTCTCTCTCTCTCTCTCTCTCTCTCTCTCTCTCTCTCTCTCTCTCTCTCTCTCTCTCTTATAAAACAAGTGCGGATGTTGATGTTCGATTTTTTGTTTTTTTTCTTGCCACACCATAGTTGATGGATACTGATGTTTGTAATCATTTAAACCTAATCTCATTAACTAACTAACTACAGAGTTCTATAGAATAGTATCTGGACATTGTACCGATCGATGTAAAAAACTAGAAGGCGTTTAACACGCAACTCATAGTAAATGGAGTGCTCATGTTTATCAGCTCATGATCGAACGAGATTTGGGATTTCTTGAAAAAAAAAAAAACTTGTTTCTTCTAATGTTACCTCTCCGTTTCATTATTTCGTCGCGGTGAACTAATTGATAGTTTGACCAGTTTGATCTTACTTTCATTCAAAGATTTATCATATCAACTTTATTAGGGATATGCTCAAGATTCCACTTGTTCTTGATCACTGGTCATTTTTTTAAACGGGAGTGATATTTTTTTTTAAGATCTATCAGATTAATAACTGAATGTCATGATGTAGTTGAAGCACCAAAAATAGGAAATCTAAAAAAAAAAAAAAAAAAAAAAAAAAAAACTGGAGAATGTTAGTGATCGCAGATTAATAATTGTTGTGATCGCGCATTCTGTAATTTCAAAATGGATTACTGGTTGGATTAGGCAGCTGAAGAAAATTAAGGTGCATTTTGGCAAGTTCTTGATACAGATGACTTTAGAGCGATTCCGGTTTGAAGTTATCTATTACATACGCTAACTAATCATTTTTATGTTCAGTACAAATTACGATCATGAAGTTAATTAGAAGAGATCCACAAATTCAGAGAAACATATAGATAAATAGATTTCGGGTACGTGTATATATTTCTCATGTCATATACAAACTGTACAAATTCTATTAGTCCTAGCTAAATAGGCTAATGGCTGAGAACATTAAGAAGAGAAACTCTAGTTTTGACTAAACTTCTAAACAGAGCTTCTAATCCCTCTTCGATTTCTTGAATGATCATCTCCGATGATTTCAATTGCTTCAACATGTTTTTGCAATCTATGTTTTTTGTTGACTTTTGGATGTTCAACGAACTCAAATCCTCAGCGACACTTTCTGAATAAACACGCCTGTTTTGGGCGGTGAACTTCGAAAGCAACGACCAACTTGTCTTGGTTGATGTTTCGTTTTCGCCAGACAATATGATTAAGACGGACTTTAGAACTGATAAATCATGGGACTCTGCTGCTCTCATCATTGTCCATAATTCGTTATCAGTTGTAGACTTGTGGTTGAAGCTCTTCAAATTCTTGATGCTCTTGTTGACCATCTTAGTGATCTTCTTTCTTGATGCCACATAAGCACTAACATCGGATGATGTGGCTGTCTCGGCTTTATTTCTCCTGATTGAAGATTCAAGATCTTGAACAGACTCCTTGGTCAACGAAACAATCTCTCTAGAAAGAGCACATAGATCGACGAGCTTGAGAGATCCCTCAAGCAACTCGTTTATCCAATTTCCTTGAGAAAGTGTTTGCTGGATTGAAGGCATTTGAATTAAATCATTGATGCCTTCGTGTAGATTTCTGAGGCTAGCCAAGTTAGAACACACAGAAGTGGATTCTGAGTCGGCCCTAAATCTGCACAAATGATCTTCAATGCTTTCGATTGCCGGATGAGATTGAGATGGGAAACTGTTTGATCGAGAATGGTTAGCAGTAGCCATCTTTTTTATTTATTTTTATTTATAATTATATATGAAAAATGAAGTGTTTGAGAGGTTGAATGTAGAATATATGACTTTGGAAGAAGATAGTTAGATGGTTGATGTAATAGTTATGGTATGGGCTATATATATATGAAGGGAGACGAATATGAATAATACGAAACGAATATGTTCCACCTACAATGTTTCATCAACTTGTGAAATAATTGAAATAAATATGAATGTGCACGGATTGCGTGTCCACTGGATCGTGAACAATTGAAAATAAAAAAAGAAGCTCAAATCATGCAGATCTCAGCTGCATTATAATTTCCGATAAATCTCGAAGCATGAAAAGTCTTGACAGCCATGAAAATTGTTTTAGTCAGCGATGAGGTATCGTTGTAATAAGAGTAGGCAATTGTCTCGAAACAACCAGACAACTAGCTATATCATATATCCAGCTATAAGCTGTCAATATTCTCCGTGTTATTCACCATTTTCGATTTTTAAAATGAAGGAATATGCCAAACAGGCTTAACTACTGCACTCGTGTGCGTGTGTGTGCCCAGACAATTTAATATCCCAGTTGTCTGAAGAAAGGCAAACACAGCTAGTTAATTCGATTTCCTGGTTGTCGATCAAGGATGTCACTGAGATTAGCATGATCCAAATTTTCAGCTTCTTTTGCTGGCATATTTATATTAACAAAGTATTATATATGCTGTTTCAGATCATTGCTGCACATTACTCGTGTGCATATTATTATTATTTTTTATTTATTTTATATATATACACACACACACACACACACACACACACACACACACACACACACACAAACACATGCCTGAAGCTTAGTTTATGATTCAAAGGCAAAATGCATTGCTCTCTGGTAAAACAAGTGTCACAATAAAGACACATAAATTGTGAAGGTGAAGCTGCTATGAAGATAGTGAATATAGATAGAGAATTGGCTTTCCTATGTAACAAATCCAGGAAAAACGAGCGATTCTTGGTTCACGAAACCTGTTATTGCTCGATTTGTATCTTTGTTTACAGTGTAACAACAACAAAAAAAACTCGTAAAACAGAATCACTCGACTTTACATACCCTTACGACTAAAGCTCTTACTCCACAACACTTGTCCATCAATAGCAGTCAAATGTTCGTCATCTAAACGTTTCCACGTTTTAATAGACTTGACCCCTCCCCAAGAACCCTTGTCCGTTTTCTCCAAAGAAGCGACCACCATTCTAGCCCTTCTAGACCATCCAGCTTTTCCGTAGGCATGATAACCGAAGCCTCCAGCATAGCATAAATGAATCCCGGTCAACTCACCACAGAAGTCGTTTAAATGATCATGCCCTGTGAAAACTGCCTTCACGTCGCCTGATTCAACCATAGTTGTGAAAAATCCCGAGTTGGCTGTTGGAGAGCTAATAGCCCCTTCTAGTTTTTCTCCTGTGAAATTTGACGAGTCGAAGCTCGAGTATTCGGGTAGTGGAATGTGGAAGTATGCTAGACCCGGGGCTTGGCCCTTTTGTGGGTGTGGCTTGTTTGTGTAACTCCTCTGCAATTTCAAACAAACGAGAAAATTAAATTGGATTCGCATAAGGAAATCCCGGTTCTGCTGAGGGCTCGTTTGATAGGAGCGATGTGATATTGGTACGGTTGCATTGGATATGTGTTCATGTATTACAATTGATTTTGTTATCGATATTTATGTTTGGTAACATGCATCATAAGTTGCGATGATTTTCTATTTTTTCCAAATTTGTCACTACCAGATAAGACGGTTGCATTAATCATTCCTTTTGGAAACATAGGGATGCAAAATCGGACGGATTAGGTCGAAATTATCAATTTTCGGAAAAAATCCATTTTTTTCGAAAGTGGAAAACTGATTCCAATTCCGTTCGAAAAAAGATCAAGAATGGGTATCTTGGAAATTGGGATGAAAAAACTTGTTCCAAAATCGGAATTATTCGGATCGGAATCAGCAGAATTCTAAAACTCCAATTGTTTTTAGTCGCCTATAATACAAAATACATAATCTAATATTGATATTATAAATGTATTTCTTGGAAGAAAAAAAAGTTCGGAATTTTCGACAATACTTTCCGAAATTAAAATTAGATTGGAAATTCCAAAAAAAATCGAAAAATCCGAACTTTTAGAATTCAATTCGGAATGAAAAATATTTTTCCAAAATCGGAAATTTTCAGCCAAATTCGAAAATTCCGTTCCCAATTTCGACTTGAAGCAAACATATTAGTTGATTATGCTGCTATCAAATGTAAAATAACATGATTAATAATCAGGGTTCTTGATGAGAGTGTACCTTAAGCTTGGATGAAGTGTGCTGAAACCAAAGTTGCTGAGAGGGTTTAATCCAACCGTAGCCCGGAATCGAAGGAACCGTCGAATAATCGCCGCTATCCAAGAAATACAGATTCAGAAGTGATTTATTAACTAAGTTAGAACCTTGTACACCATGAACCTCCAAATTGTAGTTTCCATATCCGTCGATGACGTGGACTCCGGTGGGATTAACCTGCGACAGAGTGTTCTTCATTCCGACAATATGCTTCATCACACCCTGTCTCGACAGAGTGGATTCCTGGTCGTGGTTTCCGAGAACCGCCGCCCATGGGATGTTGGACGCTACCGCCGGAGCAAAGGCGGCGTTCATCGACGCCGCCGCGTCGGTCGCGTCGAATCCGAAAATGTTGTCCCCTGTTTTTTTTTTTTTTTGATGTATATATAAATTAGGGTTAGTATGTGAAAAGGGGAAAAAAAAAACAGAAGATTGGGGAATTAGGGTACAGACCGGTGAAAACAATGAGGTCGGGTTTCTCGGCGAGGATAACGCGGCGGATGAAGGCGGTGGTGTTGAGGTCGGAGCAGGCGGCCATCTGCTGCGGGAGGACGTCCTCGCAAGGGGTGGTCTTGCCGTCGGCGAAGTGCATATCCGCCACCTGCAGAACCCTGAACTCTCCCCTTCTGCCGTCGAATCTCAGCTGCCGCTGCCGCTGCTGCTGCTGCACTTGGGCGGCGCCGCAGCAGAGGAAAGCCACCAACACCACCGCCACCGCCGCCGCCGCCGCCGCCGCACCCATTTTGGAAGAGGTCTAGAAAAAGACAAGAGGAAAAGAGAAGTAGTTGATGGAATTGATGATAATTAACTGTCCCATGGCCCGTGATATTATTATGGATGGAGGCACTGTGAGTGTGAAATCTTCGAGAGAGTTTGTCGGAAATGGGTGGTGGGGGTGGGGTGGGGCCGGGGGGCGGTGGGGGTGGTAATGAATGCTTATCTGAAGTCAACACATATTTGACTTGGGACTGTGATTTTACATTACACGTCTTCTCGCATCGCATGGGAATGGCATGAATGAATTGATCTCTCACATTGATTGGCTGGTTTCGATGCTGCCAACTTAGTATTAATTCTTGGGTTTTAATTAATTTTTCTGGGTATATTTCCCTTTCCCCCGTACTTTGGTTAAATATCACTCCCTTCTACTCTTGATTGCATCGATTTGTTACCTTATATTTGAAAATTTATTTTAATGTGACTATCGCTGTTAGTTGTCAAACATTTGACCTTAACACCGTTTGATCCAAGCTCTGAAATTACAAAAACACCACATTTACGAGTTTAAATAATTATTAAAAATAAATAAAAAACAAAAAAATAAAATAATGAAAAATTCAAACAACGAGAAAACATAGTCCACGACACCAGCCATAATTTATTTATTTATTATTTTTTTTAATAGTTATTTAAACTAGGAGGGGTGTTTTTTTTTTGTAATTTTCAGAATTAGATCAAACGGTGTTAAGGTCAAATGTCTGAAAACTAACATCGAGGACCACATTGAGATAATTTCAAGTACATGGGGGCAAATCGATGCAATAAAGAGTAAAATGGGATAAAGTGATACCCAACTAAAGTGCAAGGGGGGAAAGTGGAATTTATCCTAATTTTTTAATTAAGTAAATATTTTTCTTCTTAACTAGTAAACACAACGCACGCGTGCATTGCACGTGATTCTATGATTTTAATTGATGAATAAATTTTAAATATAAGTATAAAAATAATTTTGTACATTTCATGACAAGTTACTCGAGTAATTAAATTTTTTGATAGTACTTATCTTTGAAGGATGCATTTTTGCATTCACGAAAGTTGTATATCAAAATAACTAACAATTTTATTCGTCCACTGTAGATAAAATATTAAGTTTTGACAATGACCTGACGTGGCAACATATATGTTTTTTTATTTGTATTCGAAATATTCAATAAATATATAGATTCAAAGACAAATGTACAAAAAAGAAAATTCAAGATTTTTTTTTTACATTTTGGTTTTAGTCTATATGTATAAATATATTACACATCTATATATCAAAATACATTATATTATATTGATGCTGCTCCAAAATGTTGGGTCAGCCCAATGGTCTTGAAGCCCAGTCTGGGAATCTTCAAGCTCAATATTGGGAATGCCGAGAGTCCTTGCCCCGCGTCCGAGGTAGTCGAAGGGATCGCTCCACTCGTTAGCCTACAAAACAGTTGAAAATACTAGGTGACAGGCCTACAAAACAGTTGAAAATACTAGGTGACACGCCGGGGGTGGCCCGGCGATTGTCCTCTGACGCTCAAGTCAGAAAACTATCACAATATAAGCAAATAATATTAATTAATTGCGTAAATAGTGCTTACCTTGTAATGTGAGTTAAATCACATATTTATAGGTGATGGAATATGGAGACTTCTTATAGAAATCCGATGTGGGACAATATGTTATAACTAAAATCCTATCGGATTTTAGTAAATGTGATAATTGGGCTTTTATTATTAATTGGATTGATTTGGGCTTTTAGGCAAAAAACCCAATTAAGAATTAGGCACATCATTAAGCCTCCCACTCCCAAGTAGGGTCACAGGCATGTAGGCCTGGTTGGGAGTAATTTAGGAACAGTCGTTCGAGGACGTAAAATTTCCCTTTCAAAGCCTAGAGGAGAGCTGATGGAATTTCCATATTCTGAGGGGTTATGTTGTTAGTGTGAAAAATTTGGAGTCCGTCGGCGCAAATTTCATGAAATTCGTAGTTGATGGCGGAAATTTAGGAGTGGGAGGCGTTGTGACGTCATCAAGGTGTGGTGTGACGTCACCTAGTGTCGAAATCCGTGCAAAAGGTCTTCCTTGGAGAGCGAGTTGACTCGTCCGGATGAGTCAACTCGGGTGGATGGGTCAACTCGGGTGGACGAGTCAACTCGGGTGGCTATAAGTGTGACAGTTGAGTAGGATATGACATCAGCAGGAGGGCTGCTGATGTCACGGGCGCGGGCACCGATGATAGAAAAGGTGAGGTCTGACGCCTCCCCTCCTTTTTCTTTTTTTTTTTTTTTTTTTTTTTTTGGCCGTATCTTGCCTCTACTCTGTATTCCAATTTATTATTTTATTATATATATATATATAATAAAATAATATATATATATATATATATATATATATATATATATATATATATATTTTTTTTTATTTTTTTTCATTTTTCGGAAAAAATTGCCCATGGCTAATTTGTTTTGGAGAAAATAATGCTTCTTTGTCACTTGGGAGTCCGTTTTTCACTAAGAACGAGAACTTAATTTGTCTCTCTTAGTGGTGATATCCATTGGCTTTATTGCCTAGTGGGACTCGCACATTTCCTAAAGAATGAGTTATGATTCAACTTTTTAGCGAGACGGTATCCCCGGGCTATATCGCCTAGTAGGGGTCCGTCTTTCGTAAATAATGAGTTATCTTTTCAACGGGGCAAAATCCCTCGGCTTGCCTAGTGGGAAACACGCATTTCGTAAAGAATGAGTTATGCTTCATCTTTTCCGGTGAGACGGTATCCCTTGGTTATATCGCCTAGTGGGATGCTCGGGTCTCGTAAAGAATAAGCTTTTACTTTATCTTTTTAGGTAAGACGTTATCCCTTGGCTTTAACGCCTAGTGGGAAGTCCGTATTTTTGTAAAGAATGAGTTATGCTTCATCTTTTTCGATGAGACGGTATCCTTTGGTTATATCGCCTAGTGGGAGGCTCGACTCTCGTAAAGAATAAGCTTTTACTTTATCTTTTTAGCCAAGACGGTATCCCTTGGCTTTAAAGCCTAGTGGGAAGTCCTTATTTTTACACTTGGTGGTTGATCACACCCTCAAGTTTTTTATGTAGAAAGTTTGCCCGTTTACCTAAGTTTTTTGGGGCGGGTAAGACTCCCCTGAGCTTTAGTTGCTCTATTTTTTGGAGCTTTGTGGAGCGAGAAACCAAGGTTCGGGTTGGCCAGACCCTTCGTGATCCTTGATATCTTCCCCTTTAGCTATTTTTTGAGTCTATTGATTTTTTGTTAAATCGATTGTAGATGCCTTGAACGAAAACGCGTAGAGAAGACAAATGGTTGATGTGGAAATCACGGTGGCGGTATCCCACCGACTAAAATAGTTTATTAAGAATCATGCGGCTAGCGGTATGCCTTGAAAATATTGCCCGGGGCGGTATGCCACCGACTTATTGCTGAAAAGAAATTACATGGGGCCCGCGTGGGGCAATAGTAAATACTAAGTAAAGTATTTCTTCAGAATTGCGATTGTTCTAGAAATTCTCTCACGTGCCCGTTTTGGACAAGTCTTCTGTGCGCTCGCGTAAGCTGAAAACACGCATCAGTAGTGTGACCTCGATCTATGTGGTATTCATAGTAATCATCCGAATTTTATCGTTCTGGATTTTCCTTCATCCATCTCGGTGGTTGTAGAATTCATTTCTGCTCTGCAATGATCATCATGTCAACAATCTTATCCTTGAGAAGTGAGAACTTCTCGAAGGTGCGATTTTTGACGGGACGCCGCTCTTCTTTTCTATTATACTTGTGGCTTCCCTCATCGCGCTTTCGCTTAAGGGGTACCCTCATCTCTGCAGTCTCCTCAATCCGAATGTACTTCTCAGTGCGATTCAGAAGCTCCTCTAGGGTCATAGGGGGTCGGCCTTCGATGTACTCTTGAAAATGAACATGCTTCAAATTGTGTTGCAGTATGTCGATTAACATTTCGTGATTAAGGAGGGGCAATTCATGTACTACTTTGACAAATCGTTGCAGGTAATTCATGAGCGACTCTCCGTCCCGCTGTATGACCTTGAAGAGATACGACCAGTTTTGGCGTAATTCTTGCTTATAGAGTATTGGTGACGGAAAATCGTCGCTAGTTGGTCCAGATTGTCTATGGATCATTCGAGCAAGCCGTTTCACTAAATTTGTGCCTGATCAGCTAGCGTGGTCCGAAAAATCTTGCAATGAGCTGCGTTACTAAGATCGTAGAGGTCAATCTTGGCGTAAAAATTATTTAAGTGATCTTGGGGATCCCCGGTTTCATCGAATTAGGGGAGATTGGGATCCTGAATTCGAGAGGTAACACTTCTTCCATAATAGCAGGAATAAATGGGTAATTCGGGTGGACAATGCCCCAAAGTGAGCGGCCGTCGACCTCGAGACTTCTCGCCGAGGACTCCTTTAATTGCAGTCGTCGGAGCCTGGTCAACTGGGGGTTTATAATCTTGAATAATTCCCCTAATTCTAATTAATCGCCATTATTTATCCATAATCTTGAATAATTAACTAGTAATAGTAATTATATACTGCCCAACAAGAAATACAGGTTATACAGCAAGACGACAGGTTTTGCTATACTCGTGTACACCTTTACATTTTTAATGTTTGTCTGAAGACGAAAAAAAATTCCAGCCTAATTAACACAATTAAATCTTTTATATACCAACCAACTTTTATTATATTGTTGGGAGACATTTGACAATAGGCTCATTAATGAGTCAACTCAGTATGTTACTAGTATATATATATATATATATATATATATATATATATATATATATATATATATATATATATATATCATTTCTGTCATGCATGGCTGTCAAGATTCCCCATGCTTCAAGATCGATCGATCGATCAGCAATTAAAATGCAGCTGAGATCTGCATTATTGAGTTTTTTTGTTCAACATTTTGGGGACATATGCAATTCGTGCGTATTCAATTATTCACAACTTGATGAGACACTGTAGGTGGATCGATCGGATCATATTCGTTTTGTTTTATTCGTATCGATCATCTCCCTTTATATATGTATATATAGCCGATGCAATAAGATGAATTCAACCATCTAATTACATTTTCTCTCAAAGGCACATTTTCTACATTCAACCTCTCAAAACACTTCATTTTTTTATATTAAAAAAAAAATGGCTACTACTTACCATTCTCGATCGAACAGTTTCCCATCTCAATCTCATCCAGCAATCGAAAGCGTTGAAGACCATTTGTGCAGTTTGAGGGCCGACGACTCAGAATCCACTTCTGTGTGTTCTAACTTGGCCAGCCTCAGAAATCTACACGAAGGCATAAATGATTTAATTCAAATGCCTTCAATCCAGCAAACACTTTCTCACGAGAATTGGATTAACGAGTTGCTCGAGGGATCTCTTAAGCTCGTTGATCTATGTTCTCTTTCTAGAGAGATTGTTTCTTTGACCAAGGAGTCTGTTCAAGATCTAGAATCTTCAATCAGGAGAAATAAAACCGAAACAGCCACATCAGCCGATGTTAGTGCTTATGTGGCATCAAGAAAGAAGATAACTAAGATGGTCAACAAGTGCATCAAGAATTTGAAGAGCTTCAACAACAAATCCGCAACAGATAACGAATTATGGAGAATGATGAAAGAAGCAGAGTCCCATGATTTATCAGTTTTAAAGTCCGTCTTAATCCTATTGTCTGGCGATAACGAAACATCAACCAAGACAAGTTGGTCGCTGCTTTCGAAGTTCACCACCCAAAACAGGCGTGTTTATTCAGAAAGTGTCGCTGAGGATTTGAGTTCGTTGAACATCCAAAAGTCAACCAAAAACATGGATAGCAAAAACATGTTGAAGCAGTTGAAATCATCGGAAATGACCATTCAAGAAATCGAAGATGGATTAGAAGCCTTATTTAGAAGTTTAGTTAAAACAAGAGTTTCACTTCTTAATGTTCTCAGCCATTAGACTATTTAGCTAGGGTTAATAGAATTTGTACAGTTTTGTATATGACATCAGAAATATATACTCGTATCCGAAATATATTGATCTATATGTGTGTCTGAATTTATGGATCTCTTCTAATTAACTTCATGATGCTAATTTGTACTGAACATAAAAATGATTAGTTAGCACATGTAATAGATAACTTCAAAGCGAAATCGCTCTCAAGTCAACTGTATCAAGAACTTGCCAAAATGCACCTTAATTTGCTTCAGCTGCCTAATCCAACCAGTAATCCATTGATGACTAATCTCCCACCATAGAAACAACAAATGGTTAGTCAAATAGCATTGTATTTAAATGATAGGTTCAACACTTTAATAAGTTGTTCTAGATGTAGTAGCACTTTTTTCTAGTAGCACTTCAAATGAAATTTGTTGATGTTGGTTTTCTTCTCTCTCGCTAAATCCAAATTAATATTATTGGAGAAGTTTCCGGGTAGTTTTCAACCCCAATCGCCCCCGACCCGATCCGGTTCTTCTTCCGTTGAAAATGGTCGTTACAAAACCAGTGCTTTGTGGTGGTTAAGTTTTTCCAAGTATTTATTCATTTCATTGTCACAACCTGGTAAAAATGATCAGTGATCAAGAACAAGTGGGAATCTTGAGCATATCCTTAATACAGTTGATAAGATAAATCTTTGAATGAAAGTAAGATCAACTCGTAAAATCGTCAATTAGTTCACCGCGATGAAATGAGGAAAAGAAGAGGTAACATGGTTGATTCCAATGGCTACTTTTTGTCTGGAACGAAAAAAAGCGCATAACTTCAAACGGATTGGCCTTTAGAAGAAACACTTTTTTTTCTTTTTTTTCAAGAAATCCCGACGTTCGTTCGATCATGAGCGGATAAACATGAACACTCCATTTACTATGAGTTGTGCGTTAAACGCCTTCTAGTTTTTTACATCGATCGGTACAATGTCCAGATGCTATTCTATAGAACTCTGTAGTTAGTTAGTTAATGAAATTTGGTTTGAAGATTGGTGTAAATAACTCTGTAGCTAGTTAGATAATTACAAGTATCAACATCCATTAACTATGGTGTGGTAAGAAAAAAAAACGAAAAAATCGAACATCAGCTCAAGCTAAATCGAACATCAACATCCGCACTTGTTTTACGAGAGAGCAAAACACATTTCTTGTTTATTGGTTGTTGTCATGACTAGTCTGAGCTGGCATCTTCCATGTTTCTTCAGAGCTGGAAATTAAAAAAAAAAAAATAATAATAATATGCACACGAGTAATGTGCAGCAATGATCTGAAACAGCATATATAATACTAATTTGTTAATATAATATATAATATGCCAGCAAAAGAAGCTGAAAATTTGGATCATGCGAATCTGGGTGACGTCCTCGATCGACAACCACAAGCTTTGCTGTAATATCATATTAAGCCGTTGGCATTTTATCAGCTGTGTTTACCTTTCTTCAGGCAACAACTGGGAAATTAAATTGTCTGGGGCACACACGCACACGAGTGCAGTAGTTAAAAGCCTGTTTGGAATTTGAAAAGTCGAAAATGGTGAATAACACGGAGAATATTGACAGCTTATACCCTGGACATATGAATAGCTAGTTGTCTGGTTGTTTCGAGACAATGCCTACTCTTATTACAACTTAACCTCATAGCTGACTAAATCGATTTTCGTGGCTGTCAGGATTCCACATGCTTCATTAACAACAAGTGATCACTTTTTTAAATTTCAATTGTTCAAGATCTGGAGACATGCAATTCGTGCAGATTCTTATTTATTATTATTCATATCTATCATCTCCCTTTATATATATATATAGATATGATCATAAAGATGAATACAACCATCTAACATCTTCTCTCAAAAACACATTTTCTACATTCAGCCTCCTCTCGAACACTTCAATTTTTTTTAAATATTAAAAAAATAAAAGAAAAGATGGCTACTACTTACCATTCTCGATCGAACAGTTTCCCATCTCAATCTCATCCAGCAATCGAAAACGTTGAAGACCAATTGTGCAGATTGAGGGCTGACTCAGAATCCACTTCTGTGTGTTCTAACTTGGCCAACCTCAGAAATCTACACGAAGGCATCGATGATTTGATTCAAATGCCTTCAGTTCAACAAACACTTTCTCAAGGAAATTGGATAAACGGGTTGCTTGAAGGATCTCTGAAGCTCGTTGATCTATGTGCTCTTTCTAGAGAAATCGTGTGTTTGACTAAGGAATCAGTTCAAGATCTAGAATCTTCAATCAGGAGAAATAAAACCGAAGCAGCCACATCAGACGATGTTAGTGCTTATGTGGCATCGAGAAAGAAGATCACTAAGATGGTCAACAAAAGCATCAAGAATTTGAAAAGCTTCAACAACAAGTCAACAACAGATAACGAATTATGGACAATGATGAAAGAAGCAGAGTCCCATGATTTATCAGTTCTTAAGTCCGTCTTAATCCTATTGTCGGGTGAAAACGAAAAATCGAGCAAGACAAGTTGGTCGTTGCTTTCAAAGTTCACCGCCCAAAACAGCCGTGTTTATTCAGAAAGTGGTGCTGAGGATTTGAGTTCGTTGAACATCCAAAAGTCAACAAAAAACATGGACAGCAAAAGCCTGTTGAAGCAGTTGAAATCATCGGAAATGACAATCCAAGAAATCGAAGAGGGATTAGAAACCTTATTTAGAAGTTTGGTCAAAACTCGAGTTTCACTTCTTAATGTTCTTAGCTATTAGCCACATTTTTTATCTTACCATAGAAATGTATACTATACTGTAAATCACATACAAAATCAAAATCGATACTTCGTTACCTATATAATTCAGTGCACAGCACCTTAACTCATTTTGCTCTATTAACTATCTAAAATTACCGATCTGTTATATAACTTACAATCACCGACGATACTATTATTTGCATGGTTTATATATTTACTATCAAAATTTTACTAAGTAATAACATAATTCAGGAAAAAAAAATGTGATAATAATGTACAGCTTGATAATGCAACACTGCAATCACTAACTAATCATGCCCAGAGCTAGGTTGTCAAGATTCCTCTTGTTCTTAATCATTAATCAATTAATTAAAGAAAACATAAGCTACATCTAACATCTTTCTTAATCTTACTCATCGAGCCCACGTTATGTTTTTCCGTGTCTGAAGATCAGAAATAATTAACATATATTAATATAAGCTGATCGATCAGTATGCCTCAGGACTTGATTGCTGTTAAGATTCCCAATGCTTCAAGATTAGTGAATATAATATATATTAATGAAACACATGAAATGTCAAGATTAGTGAATACAATACAGGGAAGTGTAGTACTGGATTAACAATAATTTAATAGCCAACACGAACGGAATTATCATTTTCTTCCTTGTCTGGAGATCAGAACAAACTCCAGCCTAAAACCGAGTATTTTATTCACACCGGAGCTTACGGTTGGGAGACATTAACGAGTAAGCTATATATGAATTAATTCATTTATCATGGCTGTCAAGATTCCTCACTCTTCAATTATAATACTGCAGCTGAGATCTGCATGATCTGAGTTTTTTTTTTTTTAATTTTCAATTATTCAAGAACACGGTGACATGCAATTCGTGCTATTTCATATTTATTTTAACTTATTTCACAAGTTGACGCGACAATGAAGGTGGAATATATTCCTTGTGTTTTTCTTTTGTCCATCTCCCTCTCTACATATATACCTCACAACACCTAATTCAAACATACCTTCAAACAAATCACATCTTCTCTCTCAAACTCACAAATCAACACTTTTCATCTATCAAAGTTCATTTTCTTAAAAAAAAAAAAAAAGATGGCTAATTTCCATTCTCGATCAAACAGTTTCCCATCTCAGTCTCATCCAACAATCGGAAGTGTAGAAGATCAATTGTTCAGATTGAGGGACTCAGAATCCACTTCTGTTTGTGCAAATTTGGCTTGCCTCAGAAATCTACATGAAGGCATAAATGATTTAATTCAAATGCCTTCAATCCAACTGTTGGAAAAGTTGGGCCCAAATGGTCCATATATTGAGACTGGCCCAACACCTCAATTAATTTCGTGGCCCATTCCTCGGAGGCAGCCCAAACATCAAGCTGGCCCAGCAGCTTAAGTTGTAAGTTAATCTGGACCGTCAATTTTTGAGAGGTAATCTCAGCCCTCCATATGACACATAAATACTCCATCTCTCTTCCATTTCTCCTCCACATCAAACCCTAAAAACGGCTGCACCTCTCCCTCTTTCTCTCTCGAATTTTTCTGCAACAACTCACCGCTTCTGCCGCCGAATATGGCGTTGCTAGAATCGGATGCGAAGAAATCGCTAAATTTGTTGCTCTTCGGGTTTATTTATACCCCTCCTTGAGAGATGAGGGAGAGACGACGATAGCTAAGTTATACAGCCCCTTTTCTTGTTCAATTTCCCATTTTTCTTCGTGATTTGAGTGGGTTAACAGATCTGTGTGATTTGTGAGAGTTCTTTGTGAGTTCGGTGTTTCTGTGTGAGAACAAGAAAAGAGGGGTCTTCTGTGGGTTTTAGATCTTGGATATTTCCAAGATCGGTTCTGGGTTCGGGTCGAGAAAAGAGTGAGGAGAGATTGAGTGTTTTTGCTGCGTGTTTGGGCTTGTCACCGGAATCGTTGGCTGCCTCATCCGGGATCGGTGTGTAGCTCGTGGGAACTGTGAACTGAGCCGTGGATTCTCCTCAGATCTGATAGATAGATCTTCTGGGTTAGCATAAATAATAAATATATATTGTGTAATCTTTATTATTTCTGCTTTATTCTTAGAATTGCTTGTACTCCCTAACCCCTTATTCCCATAGGATTTAATCTGTAATTTATTACAGTTTATGTTTATTATTTGGTCTGTAATAACTATTGAGTTCAACGGGTACCCAACAGTGGTATCAGAGCATTAAATTGTTGTACCCGTTGAACTGGCGTACAAAACCCTACCATGGGTTTTGCTCAGGTATTGTATTCTAAACCCCCTATGGTTGGTTTTAATTTTCCTGTTTATTTTTGGGTTGCGTTTCTGGATCTGTGTGTCCAGTTTTATTAATTGTTGGATCTGTGTGTCCATTAATTGTTGGATCTGTGTGTCCATTAAGTGCTGGATCTGTGTGTCCATTTGTGTTAATTTAGCTGAATCTGTGATTCAATCTGTGTGTGCTAAATTCTCGTTTATTTATTCCGCTGCTTACTTGAATTGTCTTAACGATACCAAATCTAGATTTATTTTTCGATTTAGTTTAACCTCTCTCTCTACACAAAAACCCAGCTTGCGGGAACCGCTAGTGTTTCCTGATCTGGTTGGGGTAGTTGAGGGAGGACTGCTAGGTTCTCGTTACTTGCTTTACGTTAATTTTGGTATCGTTTATTTGCGCAATAGTAATTTTTTATCCTGCTGTGTGTTCTGGATAATGGCTTCTATGACTGCTTATTCTGTGGCTCCTTTTGATGGAAAAGGTGATTTTTCAATCTGGCAACAAAAAATGAAAAGTATTTTAATTCAACAAAAATGCTTTAAAGCTATTTCTTTAGAAGATGTTTTTATGGCTAATGCCAGACGTGAAGAATTTGATGAACTTGCTTATGCCTCTATTATTCTGAATTTGAGTGATTCGGTGATTAGAAAAGTAGGAAAGCATGAATCTGCTAGAGAACTTTGGGATAAGTTGGAGGAACTTTATACTGAAACTTCCTTGCCCTCAAAATTGTTTTTGCTCGAAAAATTTTTCAGATTTAAACTTGACTTGAACAAAGAGATTGATGTCAACATCGATCAATTTACAAAACTTGTTCAAGATATTAAACTGACTGGAGATAAAAATATCGATGATTATACTCCAATTGTTCTTTTAAATGCCATACCTGAGTCTTACAATGATTTAAAATCTGCCATTAAATATGGTAGGGACTCTGTGACTCTTGATGTAGTTATAAATGCTTTGAAAAGTAAGGAGTTGGATTTAAAAGTGAACAAGAGCAACAAATATTTTGGTGAGGTGAACTTTGTGAAAGGAAAGCAACAAAATCGTTTTCAAAACAAAAACCCGGCTTTCAATCAAAATGCTCAAAGTTCTTCAAATTTTCAAAACAAGAAAAAGGGCAAGTGGAATGGAAAGTATAATGTGAAACCAAATACTCCTAGGAAGTGTTATAATTGTGGTGATCCAAACCATTTTTCTAATGTGTGCCCTAAACCTAGGAGAGATCAGAAAATTGCTAATGTGAATCAAGTTTCTGATAATATGGGTGATGTTTTTATGCTAAGTGGTATGCATGCTTCTGTGAATTCTGTGTTAGCCTCTCTTAGTGAGAATGAATGGCTTCTTGATTCTGCATGTTCATATCATATGACTCCATCCCCAAAACCTAAAACTCCAGATTATAAAATCACCATGCATTCTCGAATTTCTCTCCCATACTGCATAGCTTCCACCTCTGATGATGAAGAAGAAGACGACGGCGACTGGTCCACCTTGCTCTCTCTGGGCCCACCTGGCCAACAGCTCCGCCACCACCGCAGCTTCAAGCAGCGCCGCCAGAGCCAGAGCCAGAGAAACCCTAATAGCAGCGGCGGCGGAGGTCAAAATGGTGTGACGGTGGCTCTTCATATTGGGCCACCGCCGAGTAGTACAGATTCTGCATCATCTTCAGCGGCGGCGGCCGTAGCAAAAGAAAACCCTAGTAGTGGTGGCGGAGTGGGAGTGGGACAAATAGGGCAATATTGGATTCCAACCCCATCTCAAATCCTTGTCGGCCCTACCCAGTTTTCTTGTTCTGTTTGCACCAAAACTTTCAACAGATACAACAACATGCAGGTATACACACACACACACACACACACACATACTTGATCCCAATCTATCTATGTGGGTATTTTCTAATTAATTATTTTTCATTTCTTTTCTTCATCCGGCCGACTATAAATTGATTTAGGGTTTATAAATCTGTCTTGATCTTCTTTAACAATGGTGTCCGTCCAGAATTTCTGTCTGAGGTTATAATTAAACCCCATGTTCTATTTTGGTTCACTTAGAAAATAAAACAAGTAGAAAAACATGCTTCCACTCCTCCTTTTGGCAATTCCAGCTTTCAATACTCAAAACCAACATTCATTCATATATTCCCCCAACTTTCAAGAATATATAATACTCAAAAATCAAGAAATTTAATTTAATTTATGCATCCTCATTAATTTTCACTGACACCTAATCTTATTTAACTTGTGTGCCTATATAAATTAATACAGTTGTGTGCCTATAAAAATCAAGATGGCTAATTTCCATTCTCGATCAAACAGTTTCCCATCTCAGTCTCATCCAACAATCGGAAGTGTAGAAGATCAATTGTTCAGATTGAGGGACTCAGAATCCACTTCTGTTTGTGCAAATTTGGCTTGCCTCAGAAATCTACATGAAGGCATAAATGATTTAATTCAAATGCCTTCAATCCAACAAACACTTTCTCACGAGAATTGGATAAACGAGTTGCTTGAAGGATCTCTCAAGCTCGTTGATCTATGTGCTCTTTCTAGAGAAATTGTTTCATTGACCAAGGAGTCTGTTCAAGATCTTGAATCCTCAATCAGGAGAAATAAAGCCGAAACAGCCACATCAGCGGATGTTAGTGCTTATGTGGCATCAAGAAAGAAGATCACTAAGATGGTCAACAAAAGCATCAAGAATTTGAAAAGCTTCAACAACAAGTCTACAACAGATAACAATTTATTGACGATGCTGAAAGAAGCAGAGTCCCATGATTTATCAGTCCTAAAGTCCGTCTTAATCCTCTTGTCCGGGGGAAACGAAAAATCAAGCTGGTCGTTGCTTTCAAAGTTCACCACTCAAAACAGCCGTATTTATTCAGAAAGTGTCGCTGAGGATTTGAGTCCGTTGAACATCCAAAAGTCAACAAAAAACATGGACAGCAAAAACATGTTGAAGAAGTTGAAATCATCGGAAATGACAATCCAAGAAATCGAAGAGGGATTAGAAGCCTTATTTAGAAGTTTAGTCAAAACCAGAGTTTCACTTCTTAATGTTCTCAGCCATTAGTCGTCGCAATGGCTTGGGATATATCGATAGAAATTGTACAGTTTTGTAAATTACATCACAAAATGTATACTCATACTTAGAGATATCTACACAATTTTGTCAAGAAAACGACATAAATCCGAAATCTTTTGCTCTATTTGCTTGTGTGAATTTGTGGGTCACTTTAAATTTCATATTTGTTATGTCATCAACCTGTTTGAAATCATTCATTCATCAGAAGCTATAAGACCTATATATACAACATTAAGAAGTTCCCTAATCCAAGTAGTAATTCACTAATCTCCCATCATAGAAACAACAAACGGTCGTGAAAATTTTCATACAGGGAACCTCTCAAATTATTGGACAGTCTAGGGTGGAAATTGGATTGGACCTTCCGATTTCCGCTGATTCCGATCCGAATGTTTCCCATTATGGAACAATACTTTTCATTCCGAAATTGATTTTTCCAAAATCTTTTGGATATGAATTGGATTGGAATTTATATGAGATTCAAAATTTTCGATTCGATTTGATTTCAATTTCCAAAAATAAGTCTGAAAATTACACATTTATTATCAATATTTATTTTCAAATAATATCAGTATTATTATACATTTTATATTTTAGGTGACTAAAAATTGGAAGCATTCAAACTTCACCGATTCCGATCCTAAAATTTCCAATTTTGGAACGACGTATTTCATTTCAGTTTCTGAAATTCTGATTTACGATTTTTCCATTTTTCGGGAACAAAATTTGAATTTGTTTTACACTCCCGAAGAGAAATGGTTTCTTTTTCCGTAAGTACTAATAATATTATGTCGTAAGTAACGCACACTGAAGCGGTGTAGAGTTTCCCCGAGTTCCGCCGGTTCCCATCTGAAACTATTCGAATTTGGAATTGTGTTTTTTATTTCAATCTTCTTCCGATTTCCGCCCTTTAGGAATGTTCATAAACAGGAATGCGAATACACCGGCCGGAACATTTCGTGCCCATTTCAATAAATAGTAAATACTCAAAAATTGCAAACGCCACAAAAATCCGAATCTCTCTCTCTCTCTCTCTCTCTCTCTCTCTCTCTCTCTCTCTCTCTCTCTCTATTTGCTTTGCCGTTACTATCGTTGAAGACTGCAACTTCTTTTTTCAATCACGGCGTTCCTCCTCCCAGACGGCGGTTGTAACTTCGAATCACAGTTACCAAAGAGTTTTCTCCTCCTCATCTTCTGATTTTTGCGTGATTTTGTTTTGTTTTTTCTAATAACAAAATCGGTTCAGTAAGTTGTTGTCGAAATCGAGTTTTTCTAAGCATTCCATTCTCCCAACTCAGTAATAAATACTAAATGCTGAAACTAGTGCCCAATAGAACTTCACCACAATCAAATATCAGACTTGTAGATACTTCTCTATATTCTCCATGAAAAAAAAAGCTTTAGGCATGCTTGTGTGTGTATATATATATATATATAACAGGAGGAATCACATTCTGTTTTTTGTTGCTGACACTGTTGGATATGAGGGGGCAATCTCACATTGAATATTTCATTTTTTTTTCTTGAATTAATTGATCACAAAAATCGCAATTAAATAATATGTGCAACCGAGAAATACGCCAGCTGAAAAATTGGATCGTGCAAATCTCAGTGGCATTAATGAATCTCGACAACGATGAACTTACTTTAATATGACCGGTGAACTCTGTATGATGAAGAACACGGAGAATCTTGCCAGCCAGCTTATACTAGTGGTCTGATTGTTTCAAGACAATGTCTACTCAACTACAAGCAATGGCTAAATCAATTTCATTGCTGTCAAGATATCTCGTGCTTCATGATTTATCGGAAATTATAATGCAGCTGAGATCTGCACGATTTGAGTTTTTTTTTCAATTGTTCACGATCGGGTGGACACGCAATTCGTGCATATACATATTTATTTCAATTATTTCACAAGTTGATGGAACATAGTAGGTGGAGTATATTCCATTTGTATTATTCATATTCATCTCCCTTCATATATATATATATAGCTCATACCATAACTATGAATTCAACCATCTAATTAACATCTTCTCCCAAACCCAAAGTCACATATTCTACATTCAACCTCTCAAACACTTCATTTTGATATAACTTATAAATTTTTAAAAAAATGGCTACTGCTAACCATTCTCGATCAAACAGTTTCCCATCTCAATCTCATCCAGCAATCGAAAGTGTTGAAGACCATTTGTGCAGATTGAGGGCCGACTCAAAATCCATTTTTGTGATTTCTAACTTGGCTAGCCTCACAAATCTACATGAAGGCATCAATGATTTGATTCAGATGCCTTCAATTCAGCAAACACTTTCTCAAGGAAATTGGATTAACGAGTTGCTCGAGGGATCTCTCAAGCTCGTCGATCTATGTGCTATTTCTAGAGAGATTGTTTCTTTGACCAAGGAGTCTGTTCAAGATCTTGAATCTTCAATCAGGAGAAATAAAACCAAAACAGCCACATCATCCGACATTGGTGCTTATGTGGCATCGAGAAAGCAGATCGCTAAGATGGTCAACAAGAGCATCAAGAATTTGAAGAGCTTCAACCACAAGTCTACAATAGATAACGAATTATGGAGAATGATGAAAGAAGCAGAGTCCCATGATTTATCAGTTCTAAAGTCCGTCTTAATCCTATTGTCTGGCGAAAACGAAAAATCAAGCAAAACAAGTTGGTCGCTGCTTTCAAAGTTCACCAGTACTCAAAACAGCCGTGTTAATTCAGAAAGTGGCGCTGAGGATTTGAGTTCGTTGAACATCCAAAAGTCAACAAAAAACATTGATAGCAAAAACTTGTTGAAGCAGTTGAAATCGTCAGAAATGACCATTCAAGAAATCGAAGAGGGATTAGAATCTTTATTTAGAAGTTTAGTCAAAACTAGAGTTTCACTTCTTAATGTTCTTAGCCTTTAGTCGTCTAATTGGCTTGGGATAAATCCATAGAAATTGTACAGTTTTGTAAATGACATCAGAAATTTATACTCATACTTAGAATTATCCGAAATCTATTTCTCACCAACGAAACGAAACAGCAAACGGTTAGAAAATTTTCACATGAATCTGTCTAGTTATTGGATTGTGAACTAGGGGTGGAAATTGGAACATAACTTTCGATTTCCGCAGATTCCAATCCAAAATTTTTCGATTTTGGAACAATATTTTTCATTTCGAATTTCAAAATTCTGATATTTACGAAATCTCTTGGATCGGAATTTGAATTGCATATGGGATTTCGATTTTCGATTCAATTCCAATTTCCAAAAATAATTCCGGAAATTCTGATCTATTTTGAAAAATTACACATTTAAAATCAATATTATTATGCATTTTTAAAGAATTTCTGATTCCGATCAAAAAATTCCCGACTTTGAACTGAGTTTTTTTCATTTCAATTTTCGAAATTCGGATTCTTCAGTGGTGTGGAGTTTCGTCGTTTCCAAACGCTGGAAAGCCGAAGACGCCCAATTCAGTAAGTAAATACACAAAAAACTGCAACTTCGAGCCTCCGATAATTTCTCCGGCGGCGCGCGACAGCCGAAAAATCCGCTCTCTGCCTTCCTCCTCCAATACGACGGCGTTGTGGTTTGAATCACAGGTAACAAAGAGTTGTCCCCTCCTCCTCATCTGCTGATTTTCCGTTATTTAATTAGGGATTTGTTTTATTTTTTCTAAAAAAATCTGTTAAAAAAGGCCACGATTATTCTGGAAATCAGTGATTTGAATTATGGTTAAGTTTGATCTACTGTCTGCATTTAGGAAGCATAAAAATGGCCATCGTGCTTTAACTGCATCATGAGATCGGTGATCAAGCACAATTTTTCATAATCGGCAATATCAATTTATAAAATTAATCTAGTTATTCAAATTAGTACTAGAATCCTCCTCCTTTTTCTATAGATGCAAATGAGTTTAAACTACTTAAGCTGCTCTTTCTCTCTCTCACTCTCTCTCACACACACACACACACACAAACACACGCTTGCGAGCACAAACACGATGATATTAAGTCATTAATCATTAAGATCATAAAAAAATGGTTATCTTCAAGCATTAATTGATCAAGAGCTAAGAACAAGAGGAATCTTGACAACCTAGCTCTAGACATGATCAATTACTAATTGCATTGTTGCATTACCAAGCTGTAAAGAATATTCATATCATTATTATTGCTGAATCATGTTACTACCTAGTAAGTCATTTGCCAATAATATTTCGACATTCACCGTGTGAAAATAGAACTCACGATAATTATAAGATATCAGTAATTTTAGATGGACAATAGACAGATACAGCAAAATATATATTGAGTTGAGATTTGCACGATGGATTATATAAATAATCAAGTATCACTATTGATTTTGTATGTCATTTACAAAAAATATACATCTGTATGGTGTGGTCAAAATTATATCGAGCCATTGAAACTAATGGCTAAGAACATTAAGAAGCGAAACTCTAGTTTTGACTAAACTTCTAAATAAGGCTTCTAATCCCTCTTCGATTTCTTGGATTGTCATTTCCGATGATTTCAACTTCTTCAACATGTTTTTGCTGTCCATGTTTTTCGTTGACTTTTCTATGTTCAACGAACTCAAATCCTCAGCGACACTTTCTGAATAAACACGGCTATTTTGGGCGGTGAACTTTGAAAGCAACGACCAACTTGTTTGGTTCGATCTTTTGTTTTCCCCAGACAATAGGATTAAGACGGACTTTAGAACTGATAAATCATGGGACTCTGTTTCTTTTAGCATCGTCAATAAATCGTTATCAGTTGTAGACTTGTGGTTGAAGCTCTTCAAATTCTTGATGCTTTTGTTGACCATCTTAGTGATCTTCTTTCTCGATGCCACATAAGCACTAACATCGGCTGATGTGGCTGTTTCGGCTTTATTTCTCCTGATTGAGGATTCTAGATCTTGAACAGACTCCTTGGTCAAACACACGATTTCTCTAGAAAGAGCACATAGATCAACGAGCTTAAGAGATCCCTCGAGCAACTCGTTTATCCAATTTCCTTGAGAAAGTGTTTGCTGAACTGAAGGCATTTGAATTAAATCATTGATGCCTTCATGTAGATTTCTGAGGCTGGCCAAATTAGAACACACAGAAGTGGATTCCGAGTCCCTCAATCTGCACAATTGGTTTTCAACGCTTTCGATTGTTGGATGAGATTGAGAAGGGAAACTGTTAGATCGAGAATGGAAATTAGCCATCCTATTTTTTTTTTAACGAAATGATCTTTGAAAGATGAAAGTGTTTATATGTGAGTTTGAGAGAAGATGTGATTTGTTTGAAGATATGTTTGAATTAGATGTTGTGAGGTATATATGTAGAGAGGGAGATGGGACAAAAGAAAAACAGATGGAATATGTACCACCTACAATGTCGGGTCAACTTGTGAAATAAATTAAAATAAATATGAATATGCACGAATTGCATGTCACCGTGATCTTGAATAATGGAAAAAAAAAAAAAAAAAACTCAGATCATGCAGATCTCAGCTGCTATATTTTAATTGTAGGGTTAGGAATCTTGACAGCCACGAAATTGAATTAATTCATATATAGCCTACTCATTAATGAAATGTCTCCCAACCGTAAGCTCCGGTGTGATTAAAATACTCGTACGTAGTCAAGTGCTATGCTGGAGTTTGTCTGATCTTCAGACAAGGAAGAAAATGTGAATTCGTCCGTGTTGGCTAGTAAATTATTGTTAATCTATTAAAATCATGTGAAATTTGTGATTATTTATTATCGCATAAAGGCAGAAAAAGTGAAGTGTTGTCTGCAATTTATGTTTATATCCCATTTTTTAATATTTACTCATTTTTCTATATTTTAGGGTCCTATTTTTGGGAAATGACATTGCATGTGTTTCATTAATATATATATTATATTCACTAATTTTGAAGCATTAGGAATCTTGACAGTAATCAAGTCCTGAGGCATACTGATCAGCTTATAATATATGTTAATTATTTCTGATCTTCAGACACGGAAAAACATAACGTGGGTTCGATGAGTAAGATTAAGAAAGATGTTAGATGTAGCTTATGTTTTCTTTAATTAATTGGAACTTCATAGTTGTGACTTGTGAGTCATTAAAAATGGTTAAGAACAAGAGGAATCTTGACAACCTAGCTTTAGACATGATTAGTTAGTGATTGCAGTGTTGCATTATCAAGCTGTACATTATTTTCACATCCTTATTTGCTGAATTATGTTATTACTTAGTCAAATTTTGATTATAAACCAGGCAAATAATAATATCGTTGGTCATTGTAAATTATATTACAGATCGGTAAATTTAGATAGATAGTAGAGCAAAAAATAGATGTTGAGTTAAGGTGTTGTGCACTGAATTATATAGGTAACGAAGTATCGATTTTGATTTTGTATATATGTCATTTACATTTCTATGGTAAGATAAAAAAATGTGGCTAATGACTAAGAACATTAAGAAGTGAAACTCTGTTTTTCACTAAACTTCTAAATAAGGCTTCTAATCCCTCTTCGAGTTCTTGAATGATCATTTCCGATAATTTCAACTGCTTCAACATGCTTTTGCTATCCATGTTTTTTGTTGACTTTTGGATGTTCAACGAACTCAAATCCTCAGCGCCACTTTCTGAATAAACACGGCTGTTTTGGGCGGTGAACTTTGAAATCAGCGACCAACTTGTTTTGCTTGATTTTTCGTTTTCGCCAGACAATAGGATTAAGACAGACTTTAGGACTGATAAATCGTGGGACTCTGCTTCTTTCATCATTGTCCATAATTCGTTATCAGTTGTTGACTTGTGGTTTAAGCTCTTCAAATTCTTGATGCTTTTGTTGACCATCTTAGCGATCTGCTTTCTCGAGGCAACATAAGCACTAATGTCGGATGATGTGGCTGTTTCGGCTTTATTTCTCCTGATTGAAGATTCTAGATCATGAACAGATTCTTTGGTCAAAGAAACAATTTCTCTAGAAAGAGCACATAGATCAACGAGCTTGAGAGATCCCTCGAGCAACTCGTTTATCCAATTTCCGTGAGAAAGTGTTTGCTGAACAGAAGGCATTTGAATCAGATCATTGATGCCTTCGTGTAGATTTCTGAGGCTAGCCAAATTTGCACAAACAGAAGTGGATTCTGAGTCGGCCCTCAATCTGCACAAATGATCTTCAACGCTTTCGATTGTTGGGTGAGATTGAGATGGGAAACTGTTTGATCGAGAATGGTATGTAGTAGCCATCTTTTTTTTTTTTTTTTTTTTAATATTCGTTGGGTGAGGTTGAATGTAGAATATATGACTTTGGAAGAAGATAGTTAGATGGTTGAAGTAATAGTTATGGTATGAGCTATATATATATGAAGGGAGACGAACATGCATAATACGAAACGAATATGTTCCACCTATAATGTCTCTTCAACTTGTGAAATAATTGAAAATAAATATTAATGTGCACGAATTGCATGTCCCCCATGATATTGAATAATCGAGAAATATACGAAAACTCAAATCATGCAGATCTCAGCTGCACGATTTTGGAGCAGGAGGAATCTTGACAGCCATGAAAACAATTTCATAAATTGTAATAAAAAGCTGAGTCATTGATGAGGTATGTCAGATGTCTCCATAACTGTGTATAAAAGATTATTTTGTGCTAGGCTGGAAGGTTTGTGATCTTCAGACAACCAACAAAATAAAAAATATGCAAACTAATATATAACTTATAAACTACACGTGTTTTCGTGCAGTATGCGGTTGAATTATAAAATGATTATCGTCTTAGAAACACCTAAAAAACGTGTGAATTTTTTTGACAACGTATAGTTCTAAATTACTTACCACGCTGCTGCACTACCGGGTTATTTATATTGTGTGCTATAGTTCTCATAGCTGAATAATAAAAAAATAGAACAGGACTTCCATTAAACGGAATCTTCTTGTTTTACCGAAAAATAAATAAATATTGACATTTTTACCTACATAGCTTTGTATTTTAAAACCGAATAAAAAAAAGATTGTACTTGTTTTCTAGTTAGTTCTTATTAGTTTTAGTAGATGTTACATGTATTACGGCTTCATACATAGCTTAAATTATAAAGCTGTAGGGCAAAAAAAAAATTCAACCAACACATTATATACATTGATCATGAAGCATTAGGAATCTTGACAGTGATTAAGTGTATTTAATAGTATGGTGTTTATGATCTGTTATTTGATTGAATTATTTTATTAAAGGTGGTGTTTCTGATCTTCAGACATGGAAAAATATATTACAGGCTCGACGAGTGAGATTAATTAATATAATTGATCAATGATTTAGAACAAGAGGAATCTTGACAGTCTAGCCTCTAGAAATGATCAATTAGTTATTGCATGTACGTAAAATTCATATCGTTATAGCTGAACTATGTTATTATTTAGTCAATTATTGATAACAAACATCTAAACGTGCAAATAATAGTCTCGATAGGCAATTATAGCAGATCAATAGTTTTTGACAGATAATACAAAAAAAAAAACAATAGATGTTGAGTTGAGGTTTTGTGCACTGAATTATATAGATAATGAAGTATTGGTATTGATATTTTATCTCATTTACAGATGTATATATTTACACTTGTATGGTATGGTAAAAAATGTGAAAATTATCCCGAGCCAATTAAACGACTAATGGCTGAGAACATTGAGTAGAGAAACTCTAGTTTTGACTAAACTTCTAAATAAGGCTTCTAATCCTTCTTCGATTTCTTGAATTGTCATTTCCGATGATTTCAATTGCTTCAACATGTTTTTGCTGTCCGTGTTTTTTGTTGATTTTTCGATGTTCAACGAGCTCAAATCCTCAGCGACACTTTCTGAATGAACACGGCTGTTTTGGGTGGTGAACTTCGAAAGCAGTGACCAACTTGTCTTGCTTGATTTTTCATTTTCGCCAGACAAGAGGATTAAGACGGACTTTAGAACTGATAAATCATGGGACTCTGCTTCTTTCAGCATTGTCAATAAATCGTTATCTGTTGTTGACTTGTTGAAGCTCTTCAAATTCTTGATGCTTTTGTTGACCATCTTAGTGATCTTCTTTCTTGATGCCACATAAGCACTAACATCGGCTGATGTGGCTGTTTCGGCTTTATTTCTCCTGATTGAAGATTCGAGATCTTGAACAGATTCTTTCGTCAAAGAAACAATCTCTCTAGAAAGAGCACATAGATCAACGAGCTTGAGAGATCCGTCAAGCAACTCGTTAATCCAATTTTCGTGAGAAAGTGTTTGTTGGATTGAAGGCATTTGAATTAAATCGTTTATGCCTTCATGTAGATTTTTTAGGCTAGCCAATTTAGAACACACAGAAGTGGATTCTGAGTTGTCGGCCCTCAAACTGCACAAATGGTCTTCAACGCTTTCGATTGTTGGATGAGATTGAGATGGGAAACTGTTTGATCGAGAATGGAAATTAGCCATCTTTTTTATTTATATTTTTGAAGAAAATGAACTTTGAAAGATGAAAAGTGAGTTTGAGAGAGAAGATGTGATTTATGTTTGAGTTAGGTGTTGTGAGGTATATATGTAGAGAGGGAGATGGACAAAAGAAAAACAAAAGGAATATGTTCCGCCTACATTGTCTCGTTAAAAAAATTGAAATTAAATATGATTATTGTGCACAAGTTCCCCGGCCATGTCGACCGGATCTTGTACAATCGAAAAATGAATAACTCAAAATCATGCAGATGCAGATCTGAGCTATACAATAAGCTGCTGATCTTGAAGCAAGAGGAATATTGACAGCCATGAAATTTGAATTAATTTGTATATATAATTTATTCATTATTAATGATGCTACATCAAATGTGTCGCAGCCTATAAGCAGTGACAGAATAAAAGATTAATTGTGTTAGGCTGGAGTTCTTCTCATCTTCAGACAAAGAAATAAAATTATGTTAAATGCTCACACGAGCGTAGGTGTGTGTACCTGGCCTGGCTGTTGTCTGTGTTTCGACAGCAATTTGAATTTAAATTATAAATATGATATATTGGGAATGTATCATATTTATTTACAAGTATTTTGAATAGTTTTAATGATTCATCAAAAAAAAATTAAATAACTAAATAAAGAAGAAGATTTTAATGGGCTTGAATTCTATTGAATATTTAGCAATGTACTTATATTTGGTAGCGCGGATGAGGCCCATAAAATGGGCTTGTTTCTTATATTTTATATTTATTTTTCTTTTTGTTAATACACGAACATAAACGTACTCAAATTGACTTACATAATTGAGTGACAAAATAAATAAAATAAAATAATGGAAAGAAAGACAATAAAAAAGCTGTACGTGCATGCATGGAAGTTTCCGACACCTAAATTTTAGCTGTTGACAATTCGATCCATATCCGTACAAGAAAGGGTACTTCCACTCTTCTTCCTCTCCACATTTAAATTCTTACTATATATATAATCTACTCATAATCTACAATCCTAATTAAATACTTACGTCATTGAACAAATGTCACTACCCGAGTTCGATTTCGACTCACTTACTGAGTTGCACAATTCCGTGAACGAGTTACTGTCTTCCCCCACCACCAAGCGCGAGATAATCCACAACGGCCATGAAAAGTGGGGCCACGACGTGTCGGAAGCGTCGCTAAAAATGGCTGACTCTTGCTCCGCCGCCAAGGACCTCCTCCTCCTCGCCAAGGACCACCTCCAGAGCCTCCAGTCCGCCTTCCGCCGCATCGCCGCCACCACCGAGACTGCGGAAAACAACTTCGCCCACCACCGCCTCCCCCGTAAGCAGCTGAAGAAAGCAATCCTAAAAAGAATACACTCGCTCAAGGCCGGGTCACAGCCGCCGCAGCCGGCGGCGGCGGCGGGTCAAACCCTTGCGGCGGTGGTGAATTTGCTGAAGGAAGTGAGAGCCACAACCCTGTTGATCGTCCGGTCGGTGTTAACCCTCATCGCCATACCGAACCCGGTGAACAAACCGGGTTCGGGTAAAAAGGATCCGATTTTCAGGATCCGATTTACCCGGGTGGATAGCTTGAGTATTTGGGAGAAAAGCGACGTCGTATTGGACACACGATCTGTAATGAAGAGGTTGGAGGAAGTGGAGATGGTGGTGGGGGATATGGAAGCTGAATTAGAGGACATGTTTAGAAGGCTGATTAGGACTAGGGCTTCACTCCTAAACATACTTAATACCTAGGATTAATTAGTGGCAATTAAACACTAATAATTAATTATCAAGAGAATTAAGCAGCCTAATATTATTCCGGGGCTTTGCTTTAAGTTTGCCTTTTTTTTATTCTATATATTCTTTGATTCATGTACAATAAAGTTGGATGTGGCGCCGTGGGATTTCGTCTTTTAGTACAAGAGGAGAGTTTTTGTTGTATGTAATATCCTTTTAATTACAAATTACTCGCAATTATATATGTGCATTGAATAAAATTTATTTTAGTGCAATAATCGGCATATAACACGACAAGTGTAAACAATATTGACAAACCATGTACGACAATCTCAACCTGGAAACCAAGAAAAATTGAGTTCATTCGTCTTACTTCTCGAATTAGAATTAGGGCAAATTACGAAAAATTCCCTAAACTTAGGCTAATTAACAAAAACACCCCCACCTGTCCGTACGTAATTACCAAGATTTTCATCTGACTAACTGTTGACCGAGTTTTTTAACATAAAATGTGTACACTCTATTATATATTATGTTAGATAGGTGAGAATTAAAATAAGATATCTGAAATTGTTTCAAGTCTATTCTCTAGAATAAAAAAGATTTCGTGAAAAAATGACACCGTAGGAGGTTGGTGTAAGATGAAAATAAACACCAAAGTATTTTTTGATGATTACAAGTAAATGGAGCATAAGTTATGGGTTTCGTGATTTAAATTATAAAAAAGTGGAGCACTAATGTTTGGATCTAATTAGAATGTTTACTCTAAGAATTAATAAGAGTAAACTCTATCCAATTCTTTACTAAACACTTATTAATGTGTGTGTGGGAATATCCAATAGAACTGGCATTGTACCAAGATTATTGGCATGGTTTGTACTTTGTACTTAGCACTAACTAATTAAATCCTAGAGCATGGGGGGCTACAGTTTAGATGCTTGATTATTCTCTTGTAAAGCTGACACGTGGAATTTACAATTCGTCACATTTTTCTCACCATCTCTGGCAATCAATCAAATACACGTGCAAAATAAACTCTTGCCCGTCAAAGTTGACCTGCTCTGGAAAATTCAGCATCGTCCCCAAACATTCACACTATATCCAAACATCCCACTGTATAGGGTAGATTACAATCACCCCTGAGGTACGGTCAATTTACGAAATAATCACTCTTGTTTGGATAATTACATTCACCACCCTCATCTATGATTTTTTCTTACACCTCCACCCTTATGGTGTCAAATTCAACATAATCATTTATATTTCGTGGAATATGCTCTCGTTTGTACTCATTTTGTGTAGAAATACAGTTTCTGATGCATCACAATCTGATATATACAAGCCAAAAAACACACATTTTGATCATCTTGCTTCAAAATGTGGAGTTCGAATAGGATAAAACGGGTACAAAAGTGATAATATTTCATATAATCTAGAAGATTCCACTAAATTTTATAGTTGAGGGGTGGATGTAATTACCCAAACAAGAGGGGGATTTTTGTAATTTGATCATACCTCAGGGGTTGGTTGTAATTTACCCCCACTATATAAAATACTAATTATAATAATAATAACCACAACTTTACTCAAACCACTGCTACATTAGTCTCAGAGTTCATCTGGAAATTAATCAATTATTCCTTTTTAATGGCGCAAAGCATCTCAAATTCTTCGAATATCGATCCACGCAGCGGATTTTGCGGAGCGGATTCCACCTTCTACAGCAAGCGCACCCCAATTCCTCTCCCCTCCAATGAATCGCTCGACGTCACCACCTTCATCTCCTCCCGCGCCCACCGCGGCAAGGTCGCCTTCATCGACGCCGCCACCGGCCGCCGCCTCACCTTCGCCGACGTGTGGCGTGCGGTTGACGCCGTATCCACCTCCCTCTCCGCCGAATTCGGCATCCGCAAAGGCCACGTCATCCTCCTCCTCACACCTAACTCGATCTACTTCCCCATCGTCTGCCTCGCCGTCATGTCCCTCGGCGCCGTCATCACCACCACCAACCCCCTCAACACTCCCCGTGAAATCGGGAAACAGATCTCCGATTCGAAGCCGGTGCTCGCCTTCACCGTTCCGGAGCTTCTCCCCAAACTCGCCGGTTCAAATCTCCCAATCATCCTCCTCGGATCGGATAGTTGTACCCCGAGCAGCAAGAGTAGTACCGAGTTAAGAATCGTCGCGTCAATTGAGGAAATGATGAAAAAGGAACCGAGTCAGAGCCGAGTCAAGGAGAGAGTCCACCAGGACGACACGGCGACGCTTCTCTACTCCTCCGGCACAACCGGCGCCAGCAAAGGCGTCGTTTCGTCGCACAGGAACCTAATTGCAATGGTCCAAACAGTGGTGAATCGGTTCAAATTAGACGACGAAAATCAAACCTTCATCTGCACGGTTCCGATGTTCCACATCTACGGATTAGTAGCCTTCGCCACCGGCCTGATCGCCTCCGGTTCGACCGTCGTAATCCTTTCCAAATTCGAGATGGATGAAATGCTGATGGCGATTCAGAAATTCTCCGCCACCTATCTGCCTCTAGTTCCGCCGATTCTAGTGGCGATGGTCAACAACGCCGATATCATCAGAAAAAAGTACGATTTCAGCAGCCTGCACTCCGTCCTCTCCGGCGGCGCACCGCTGAGTAAGGAAGTGATAGAGGGGTTCTCGGAGAAGTACCCGAACGTGACGATTTTGCAGGGCTATGGACTCACTGAGTCGACCGGGATCGGAGCTTCGACGGACTCGCTGGAGGAGAGCCGGAAATATGGAACGGCGGGGCTGCTATCGCCGAACATGGCGGCGAAGATCGTCGATCCGGAGACTGGGGAGGCGTTATCCGTGAACCAGACCGGTGAGCTTTGGCTGAAGGGCCCCTCCATTATGAAAGGTATTAAAACATTTTAATTGTTTTTTTTTTTAAATAAACAAATATTTTACTAATATTTTTTTTGAAACAATATTTTACTAATTCCAAGTACTCTAATATTTAATAATTAATTAACTATTAAAATATTTAATGATTGTACAATTGTACTTCCTTGTACTCTAATTAAGTATATGTTTATGGAATTCTTCCATGTATTTAAAAAATAGATTTTACCATGCTCCTTACTTGTAGTTTTCAATTATTTTGCATTAATGTTTCAATCATATATTTTATATTAATAGATATCTTAATATATTTTAATTAACTAAACAGCACATTAGTATAAAATTAATCTATATGTATATATATTTATTAATTTAATATTCGTAGTATACACATGTAATAAATAAATTAAATGAAATGAAATAAATGATGGAGAATGGAAAAGAAACTAAAGGAGAAAGGGACTTATGTGCGCGTGTATATGTGAGATACCAGTGATGAACTAGTGGCCGATGTCGTTCTACCAGCTAGTCGTCGGTTTCTTGTTTACTTTATTTCTTATTCAATGGAGTACATTATTGATTATTGTGTGGTCCTGCTAATCCTAAGGTGTCGAATGCAAAAAAAAAAAAAGAAAAATCGATTAAAATGTGTCCGAAGGGAAGTTGTCGTTTCCTGTCAAAAAATTACGTAGACATAATTTTATGTCAAAAAATCTCATAATTTACCTTCAAAAAATTTTGATGCACAGGATATTTTAGCAATGAAGAGGCCACAGCTTCGACTCTGGATTCGGAAGGGTGGTTGAGAACTGGTGATTTGTGCTACATTGACGAGGATGGATTTATCTTTGTGGTGGACAGGTTAAAAGAGCTCATCAAGTACAAGGGTTATCAAGTGAGTGGAAATTGGAATTACACTTCATCGATCGTGTTAAAAACATCACTAAACTAAATTTTAACTGATTTACACGCAGTAATGAGTGTTTCTTGTGGATCCAATGTGGAAACTTTTAACTAATAGTATGCATAATTATTTCAGGTACCTCCTGCAGAATTGGAGGCTTTGCTACTCACTCACCCGGAAATCTCTGATGCTGCTGTTATACCGTAAGTTGTCGATAACGACTTCCGTTTCTTAACTGGTAATATTGTATTATGGTAGTACATAGTTAAAATGATAATTCTTCGAAAACCGTAGGTTCCCAGATAAAGATGTTGGACAATTTCCGATGGCGTACGTCGTACGCAAAGCGGGAAGTGCAATATCAGAGAGTGGAGTGATGGATTTCATCGCGAAGCAGGTTGAACAAAATGCTAATTAAACTAAAATAAATAAGTCGAAGTTTGGATTGATTTAGTTTCCATTATTCGATATCTTGTCTCGTTAGCAATATAATAAGCTAAACTTTTACTTGTTCATTTGAATATAGGTAGCTCCATACAAGAGAATTCGACGTGTGGCATTTGTGGCTTCCGTCCCGAAAAACCCTTCTGGCAAGATACTCAGGAAGGATTTGATCAAGCTTGCTCTCTCTAAGATATAACGAGCTGTATGTATATATATAAGTTCCTCTGTCTCTCCTTTTCTCTTCTATAGCAGTCTTGTATTGATAGTTACAAACGACTACGAAAAACTACGAGATATTAAAAAAAGAAAAAGAGGGGAGTTTGATTGTATCGAACCTCGTTTCTTGTCAACAAGACTGCATATTGTTGCCTACTCCTACCATCATTATACGGAAATCTCCTCGGTAAATTTAAGAATGGAGTGCATCAATTGTTTCTCGCACGGAACTAATAAAGGGCCGTGCACTGTCAATCCGTACTCCTCTTCAGCCATTTCTAGCAGCACTCTGAAAATGGGGTGATTTAGATAGCACAGAGGTACGGTGAACCGGTTGTTGTCGTTTGAGTAGACCACGAAATGGCCTCGTCTTTTCCATTTTTCGATTATCTTGCTCAGCTTCTTGGAGCTCCCTTTCATGGGATTTAGCATCAAAATTCTTTTTTTTTTTCTTGGCCTTTAGAGCTATTGTTTATAAAAATGATTGATAGTTTTTTTGGTGCTGATAAAGAAGCTTTCAAGAATGTCTTTGTCTGCTTGATTAAATATCAAGGTATGGAGGGTGGGGGTAGGGGTGGGGGTGGGGGTGGGGTGGTAGTTTGAAGAATCCAAAAACGTGAGGAGATAGAATTATAGAGATTGATTGTGTGTGGAGGTAGTGAAAGTGTCTTGTGCCTGAGTTTCATTTATTGCAAAAGACAAAGAATGATTTTTTATATAGAGAGAGAGGGGAACTAGGACTCAAAATTGAATCAAATTACTCTATAATGGGATTTGAGATCGTTTGTTGAAAGCTCGTTTGAGCTCGATTTGTTAAAAATAACCGATGAAACTTAAACAAATATGTTTGTTTGGTAAGTTATGAAACTCGGTTTTTGAAGCTTGATTAAAAATTGATAAAATATGTACAGAAAATAAAGATATTTGAGAACGATTGGGGTTCGGTTCGATTAGGGTTAGTACGACATGAGCCAATTGCTTATCAAACTAAATTCAAACATAGCTTTTGAAACTCACTGTAATTTTATACAAGTTTGAACAATCGTACAGTCGATTCGACTCGATTTAATGACACCGATAGGGCCAATGGTCTAGTTTTCTGTTTTGGACACATTTATTTTAGTTCATAGAAACAAGTAGAAACGTCCAAATTGGACAATGCACGGGATTGTTTATAGAGTTGGGGTTTTCTTTTGTCCAAAAAATAAAATAGATATTTTTGCTAAAGCAAAACTACAACATAACTTAAACTTTAATTTAGTATTCATCTCTAAGAAAAAAAAAAAAAAAAATGTGTATAATTTGAGAGGATGGTTGTTGGTCCCGACTAAGGGTGTGAATGAGCCAAAAACTCCGATCCACTGTTTTGGCAGGCATGAACTCGAGCTTAACGAGAGTGTTTTTTTATATTATTAAGAATTATTTATATTATAATAAAAAAATAGAGAATAAATAATGAACTGTAATTATATATTTTTTTAATTTTAATATGTTCTTTTTTATATTATTATTATAATATTTTATATTATTATATATTTAAATATAAAAAAAAGGCTCGTGAGCCGGCGAACAACTAAGATCGAGTTTTTTCTCGAGTTGGCTCATCGTGTTCACAAGTCGGTTTAGCTCGTTTATCACCCCTAGTCCCGACCGTGCATTGGCTTCACTCAATATGAAGTTCAACAACGTAGTCTTTTTTCCCTTTCGTTTCGTAAATCGGATTTCCCCCGGGGTATATATGTGACGGCCGATGGGGGTGTTTGTTCTTGTAAAAAAAGGAAGAAATTGATGTATCATATTTTAAAATTATTAACTAGGTCGAAGGCTGATGATTCAATTAACGAAAGTATACAGTATACGTTCATTACAATAAACACAATAAATTTCAAGAAAGACAGAAGAAATTTCAGTACTTCTTTGATCAACGACCATCATCATTTTTGTATTTAAATAACTTCGTTACGTTGCATTCATTTCAATATTACACATAAAGGAAACAATAATTACCAAAAACCTTTTAAACTTGGGCGTTCACACAATTTGACTCAACTCTGCTGATTGATGATGATTGATGAACATATATTACATATATAATTAAAGGGAGGGCATTCTGAACGGATGCCCCGTTAATTGCAATAAAACGGACTCCATTCAATTGATGCCACGTGTACAAAATTACTAAAAACTTCTCTTTCTTATGGGTCCCGTATATAGAAATGAATTACAACCCATTGCCCCATTCTCATTTCATCACCTGTCTATTTGACTTATTAAAGTAGTTGTTAATTAATTTATGGTTTTAAATTTTTTACACTAAACAACATGAAAAAATATCATGTCAAATTCAAAATAAAAAAAATATCAAATATCATCTCATTTTCACGAAATGCTTTTCAAGCGATTTTATGATTAATTTTTATGTTACTCGTAATTATTATACACTCATTTATATAAAATTAATATTTATTAAAAGTTAATAACAAATTTTAATAAAAGGGCATTATTTTACACTATATTAATATTATTTATTAAATTTAATATTAAAATTTATGAAAAAAACATGAGTGATAGGAATGAAATAAGTTTTATTTTGCAAAAAAGGAAAAATAAATAAAGAGAAAAGGAAAAAGAGAAGCATTTGTCTTTACCGGCCCAAATGAATTAATGAAATACATAAATCGGTCCCACTATAGAGAGATATTCAAATGTTTTGTCCACGTGTCTTCATGTGAGTGGAGTCCGCTTTTGTGCTATTAACGGATCGTCCGTTTTGAATGTTTTCTCATAATTAAAATGCTTTGACTTATGTTAGGAGTTTACATTGTGAAGGCATTTTAGTAATAAGCGCCAATTAATTCCTATAAATCTGGAATTAAAATATCATACTACGTACGTAGAATTAATTACGGTCCATTCCTTGAAAGAAATTTAATATTGCAGACACCCCTTCTAGATAATTACCAGTAATCAAACAAATTACTAATAGAGAAAGTCAAAACGTAGGACCCACATTTGCACACATAAGTCATAGGTTGTTGGTCGTTAGATTTTAATGCTGGCGTTTACCTCTTGGTTTTGCGTCCACACAAACACGTTTTTTCCTTAATTGGGCGAAATTATTTACATGCATGCAAGTAGTATACAGAGTACGTACATATAAGATGAATTATATTAATATATATATATATATATATAAAATACAAGAGTGAGAAACTGAAGAAATACTTGAAACTAGAAACAAGTGCAAAAAATCAAATGTATTCAGACAAATCGAACCAATGTAATGACTCAATTAAAGTGGCGGTCAGCACAAGTAGCCTACCAACTTAGTTTATTTGGTCACCGCTCCATACATCTAAAATCAAAACCCTCACATCTCTATTTTCTCACACATGCATGCTTCAAAGTCACCTCTTTCATACTTTTGTATATATATATAATCAACACTTCCCCACTTTTCATAAGCCCGCGAATCCGTCTAGAGAGAGAAACTAACCATGGCCACGGAGGTGGTTGCGAGCAGCGGCCCAACAGCTCCACCAGCGGAGATATCAACTCCGGCCACGGTTCCGATGGCAACACAGTACAATTCGCCCTCTCTTTCAAGGAAGCCACTGTTGTTGTCGATCGAGCATCCCAATGCAGTGAGCAGTGATAATAAGGCGGCAGCTAATAGTAATAGTAATAGTAATAGTAATAGTAATAGTAATAATAATAATTCTCGCACGCCAAATTTTTTGACTCCTTTGGGAAGCCCAATAAGAAGGGCGATAAAGATGACGAAGCTGGACCCACAGGATGCGTGGCTTCCAATTACGGAGTCGCGCAATGGAAACGCGTTTTATGCAGCTTTTCACACACTCTGTGCTGGCATCGGTATTCAGGCTCTCGTCCTCCCCGTTGCCTTCACCATTCTTGGATGGTCAGTCCAGCTATATATATATGTTGTCTTTTTTTCAATTTACAGTTAAATCTCTATAAATTAATACAGGTGAGTCTAAATTTTTTTTTATTAATTTAGGTGAAATATTTAAATTATTGACCAATTATTTACTTTCGTTTTTAATGGGGCCCGCGCCGGAAAAAAAAATTTATTTAACCGAGATTTATTAATTTTTCCAGGATTAAATGGGGTTCCATTTTTTTAA